GTGCTACATTTTAAATACATGAATTATTCATTTCAAATATAGAAACTCCTTTTTCTACATGCTCTCTGTGTTATTTTAAATTTGTGATGTGCCCTGATGTTATGGTTTATTGAGGATTTTTAACTGTGACCAGCCTTTTTGTTATTAGTTTTTAAGTGAAAATACAGTGTTGTGACAAGTTTTACAAGATCTCTATATCTTCTATAGGAGTAAAACAGAGAGCAGATAGAAGCTAATAAAGGACTGTTATTTCAAAAAGTTAAATACTTCAATACTTTTAAAAGAAAAGTGTTTTAAAAGAATACATTCTTTATTTTAATGATCAATAGCCTATACTGAAAAGTATAGAAGCCTAAAAAAACCCTTCAGAAGTTCAGTCATACTTTAGACCAAAAGCTACTGGGAGCAGAAGAGAGAGATTCAATTTGAGAGACTAAATTTTCCAAATTACTTGGCCTACAGAAACATTGTCATATTTGGGAAATTTAGACAGTGTGCAGCAGTTTCCTGTATTTTTTGTTGGTAATTTAAAACAAGAAATTACCCAAATTGGGTGCCTAGGACTTCTATCTTTGTTACCATGTAGAAGCAGGGATGGACTTTTTAAAAAGAATTTACTGGAAATGTATTGTTGTGATGAGACATTGTTGGTAAAAGACAACCCAACAGGCTTTACTGCAAACCATTTTAATCCCAACTTGGATTCTGTCCTGTTCCACCTCGACCAGTCCAGCAACTTTTGTTTCACACTGAATGCCTATAGTGAACTAATTCCTCCCGTGGCATTTCATATGTCTTCACCAGATTGTTCAGAGAAACTAAAATCCTCTGTGAAGTTATATGACAGTCAGCCAAAGGCACTAGCAATGTCCCAAAATACCACAGACTGCATCTGGTGCCTGATCATGTTTGTGTGCTCTGAGCTGCCAGAAAAGCAGCCATCGGTAACATCCATCTGGTGGTCTATTGCCGCAGTGAGTGGATAACAAGGCAGCCCTGTCTCCTAAAAGTTTGTCTTGTTTCTTAGTACTTCCCTCTGCTTTGATCATTTGCGAAATAAAACAGAATCATAAATAATATCTGAGAAAATCTTTCTACTGTAAACTGAACTTCTTCTGTTCTTATATTCTGCTGAAGATTTCCTGCCCTCCTCAAAGTTACTAATAGATTCTTCTTATTTCCATGTAGAGTCCCTTTAAACGTCTTCAATGCCATCTCTATTTATTAATTGGCTGCAAATGTTCTCAGTCAGTCAAACAATCACCTACAAGTAGGTCTGCAATTCAATTCAATTCAATTCAAAAAACTTTACTTGTATTCAAAGGCACACAGAGCAGTAAATTAACAACAGTGCAAGTAAACAAAACATTTTAACCTAAATAGAAAGTGTTAATTTACATACAACTTAATCAAGATCTGGTAAATGGCCTCACGTGATGTCACCTGAGTCAGATGCTGAAAAAGTTAAATGTAGTTGTGAGACACACGTTTGAAAATGAAAACACATCAGGGGGACAGACACAACACCTAAATCTGTGACTTCACTATAGGAGGTGGTGGTGCATTGTGGGTAATGTGGTTAAAGAAGGAGAATGTGTGGTTAATCAAAGACACGTCTGATTCTGCTGCAGTGATTTAAATACTTTCCTTTTAGGGGTTAGTTGTGAGAGTACTCGATTAACAGAACGATTACCTGATCAATGAAAAATTATTTGTAAGTGATATTTTATGACTTGTTTACGCTCAGCTACTAGGATTTACTCTCATCCGACATATCAATTCTTTGAAATAAATGAGAGAAAACAAGTGTTATATTTAATTTTTGTTATATTCTCAATATTTCTAATAGCCAACATGTATAACACAGTTATGTAAAAAAGGAAAATTACAGAAATATTAACAACAAGACATCTAATTACTAATAATTGAAAATGCACTGTGAGATAACCACACATTTTCTTTGTAGAATTTCCTCTAGTCTTTTTTTTTTCTGTATCTAAACATGCTTGATTTATCTTTTTTTCCATTCTGGTGGACCGCCTATTTTAATTTTTTTTTTCAGTAAATCTTAATTGTTGCGCCTTTTTGACCTAAGAAAATGAAGATGGTGGATTCATTCCAATCTGTCTTCTTCCAGTACATACAGACAATGACGGTGTCTGCTTTTTGTGTGTTTAAGAAGTGTGACTACAGGACAAACTGTTCATAGATCAGAGAGATAGAGGCCATGCTCCAGCAGGAGGTTCATAAAGAGTGAATGTCCTTGAGTGAAGATAACAGACTGTAAAGGCAGTGTGACCTCATATCTGGATTACTGTGATCATGATTAGAGTTCTGTGCTGCGTTTAAGGTCTGGACAAAATGGAGAAAAACATGACTGTAAACTTTCTGGACTTCTGCTGCTTTAAATGTACGCAATACAGCGCATGACGGGTGTCTGACTTCTCCAGTTCTCCAGGTTATTTGTTTTCTTAACTTCTTTGCCCTTCCTCCTGACCATCACCTCTCCAATCAGCTGGAGATAAGAGATACCTTTTCAACACTAAAGAGTCACTGTTACATAAAAAAAGGATATTTCTCCTGCTGTGTTTTGGTGATGAAAATAAAAAGGTATAAAGTGGGCATGTCCGCCTTAAGAAAATCACATTCAAATGCCGTTATTTAGCTTTGTCATAAGATGCCTTACTTTTTTTTTTAATAGCAGTATAAGATTAAAATCCCCCAGAAAGTCTAACAGGAAGCTGTAACAAAAAGCACAACAGTGTACACCTATTATCCATCCTGTAACATACAGGACTCAGCATGTCTTCCACATTACGCTAACTGTGCTTCTCAGCTGTTAACTGGTTCGGTCTGTCTCCTCTTTAGAATGAACGTAGACATTTTTTATAATTAATGGCAAATAACTTATCTCAAATTAAGCCATGGTTGGTGGGAAGAAAAGTGTTTCTTCTTTTACTGTACTCATAACATCTGTAGAAAAAAAAGGGCTAATAACCATTACCCTTTTGGATAATCCTGCCCCATTCATCTTGTCAACCTGTGTTTTTAACACATCTGTTCCCACAGTTAATCAGTCTACAGAGTGGTGTGAGTCCTGACCGTGTATTTATTGCTGCAGTGAGGAGGTCAAGAGTACATGCCAAGGACATACTTATATATCAGGGATTAAAGGATTATTGGGAAATACCAAGACTACAGTCAAGAACAACAACAGGAGAAACAAGAAGGCTGGCTCTGCCTAATAGATAAAACTATTGTCTCCAGTACATGACGCCATTTAAAACTCTTAATCCTTCCACCTACGAGTTTTTCATCAGAGAGTTTTCAAAAGATTGAAGGCTGAGCTGATTTCACTGGACAAAGCCTGGCTGTGGTTTATTTGTTTCCATTCTTTTTTGCTAAAATAATCTGACGAGCTGCTGGCTGAAGCTTCATATTCACTGCACTGATGTGATGCTGATGAGTGCTTTGTGGGACGAGCCTTTTGTAGAAATGTTCTGACTGAGATTTGAATAACACTTCAAACACAGAAGCTGTCCCTGGTAAAACACACGCTTGTTTGGCCGTCGTTCATTCAAGATGGAGGGATGCTGTGTGTTCTCAGTCAAAGAATCAAAGCATCCGGGGATTAAACTAAAAGACAAACTGAGAGTGAAATCATTGCCACAGGAAACAACTGAACAACTGAACTGAACTAAATAACTGAACTCTGATTGTTTGATGCACACAGGCAGATTTGAATCATAACCTCAGAGCGGATTCATTATTTGACAGTGTTTTATTCACCTTCGCCTCTTCTCTTCTCTGAAACATGGAGAGATGTCTCATGTACTGCTCTTCTAACTTTGGATTCAAACTCCATACCTCTTCATTATGATTGATTATGATTGTTTCTCTTCAGCCCAGTGGTGTCAGAAGTATAGAAGTATATAACATCGTGACTGCAACAGAACAAAGTTAAAATTATTGGGTAAAGCAAGTTACAAGAAAGTAGACTTCGTGATGTCATCTCATTGAATAGAGCAAGACTGAAAACAACTTTTCTTACGATAACAAGGGATCATGTTCATGATGTCACTTTAGTATTAGATTTTTGTTCACATGTACATGATGATAAAGTCGTCTATGTTTTTTTTTTTGTTTGTTTTTTTACGAAAACATCCAATTTAAAAGTAAGCTGAGATGATACTTCAACCAGGGGCGTGTCCAGACTTTTTTTTTGACCGGGATGGCCCAACTGGGTTACTGACTTATACAACACAAGATAATGACAACATTTGCGTATTTTTTAATGGCACAAAAAGATTTATTTAAAGATTTATGTTCAAAGTCACAATTTAAAGTACATAATAAAATTGCACGCAAACTCCTGTACAGTCTGACTTGCAACGTTTTGGTCACATTGCCAGTTAGTTTTTTGCAATTAAGACATAAGTGCGTTTCTTTCCCATGCACCTGTCTTAAGAAATAGATGTCCAGAGTTTGCGTTTACAATTTAAAGTACAAACAAAGGAAAACATGCTACATTGATATGTAAAGAAAACTACAAGCAGCCTTGGCAAGAAATGAAGACCTAATAAATTATCATAAGTCCCGCCTCTGTCAGGGCAAATAGCCGATCACATTTGAGGATTTTTGGGATGGCACCATAGGGATTAAATTTCTAGGGGGGCCCATGCCACCCCTGGCCACCCTCTGGACAACAGCCCAACAGTATTTCGACATCGATCTTGTGGTTTGAGAAATATCTGCAGATATATATATAGATATATATATCTATATATATATATATAGATATATATATGTTATATTATAATGATTAAAGCTGCGCTATCAGAGTCCGTGTTTCATTATCAAACCTCACGGCCGTGTCCTTTGCACAAGCAGGCCAGACCCTCCCCTTTGTGTCCATTTATGATCTGCAGCGTTTGTCATTATCAGTGATCCTGGCCAGGTATAATTAATCACATAGACACACAGCCAAACAGAGAGAGAGAGAGAGAGAGAGAGAGAGAGAGAGAGCAGAGAGGAAGAGAGGCTGCACAATCACAGAGAATCAATCAGAGAAAGTCACAGAGATGATGCTTCCACAGCTGCTTCTGATCAGCGTCCTCGGGTTCACATGGACAACAGGTTCCTGCTGTTTGTTTGATTTCATGATCACCTTTGTCGATTTCAAGTTTTTCTTTAAAGGGACCTTTTTGCCTTTATTGGATAGGACAGCTGAAGGGAGAGGAAATGTTAGGTGGAGAAAGTAGGGACTGACATGCAGCAAGGGGCCGAGGCTGAATTCGAAACCCACAGCTGCTGCGACAGGGACTAGAGCCTCTTTTCATGGGGGACACAACATAACCGCTAGGCTATCGGCACTCCCACCTTTGTTGATTCTTGGAGTTATTTAAAAAAAATTGGACTTTAGAAAATAGCTTTTTTAAAACTGCTATGGAGGATATAAACATAAATCATATTGTAAAGTTGAAAGTAGTCATCACTGGTATATCACATATTGGTTGGAGCTGGATTTGGTGATTCTGAATCAGAGTTGAGCCTCACAGGAGAAGAAAGACTCTGAGAATACCTCTATGAAAATATGCTGGCAGCTGAAATCCAGTATAAATTTGCACTTCAGTTGTGAGTCATAACATTGATGTAAAATGTAGGTTTATTTTTTGGAATCCCTTTTAGATTTGATGATAAAGTAAAGATATTCTTCCCACTCTCAATCAAGTCTGTATTTAATCGTTTTTTTTTTATAACAACAAAATGTATCTTTATATATTCATGGCTCATCAGTTCTTTGTTATGTGTTGAGCTTTTTCATGAGATAGAGTCAGTAGACCGAGGTGGAACTGATTTTCTTCTATTAGATCTACTGAACAAACAGGTTGTATTCAATAAAGTTATGTATTTTTGTTTTCAGTGACTGGAATGCCTTGCTCTCAGATGTTTCCCTCTCAGTCGCCTCCTTCAAACGGTGAGTGAAATAAAGACAAAGTTAATGATACGTCCACTTATATGAACCGCTGTAGGCTGAGTGAACTGCTAATTGTTGCTTTGGATGGACACTGCACAGAAGTTCTGCAGAGAATATAAAACCTTTTGGTTCACTTAGTTTAACAAACAGCTTTTATATGTTGATGATGTTTTGATAAGCACAAAATTACCCCACAGTCCAAAGACAATTAATATCTATAGAACAAAATTAACCTTAAGATGCAAAGAATGAAAAAAAAAGTCAAGTTTCTGCACATTGACTTGCGTTTCTTGCAGTGTTTACACAGAGTGGCAATACTACTTCTACTGTGATAATAATTTGAGTTTTTCGACTTTGTGTTAATAATGAAACTATAGGGAAAGTGCTGATGATAGACTGAAGGGATTATTTCTTTCTCTGTAGTTAACAGCGTTAGACCTTCAGATGTGGCCGTGCTCTCCTCCGTTGGACTTCACATGCACAGGTGAGAACAGGTCAACAGTTTGCTTCATCCGTAAGTGATATTAGCTCTGAAGACGACTGAAATCTAACCGTGTAGTAACATAATGGCACTCGTGTCTTTTCTTTTCCCTGCAGCACTGAGCTCTCCACGGTGGTATCAAGACTCACAGGTATAAGATTCAAAATGTGTTTCTGTGTGTGTGTGTGTGTGTGTGTGTGTGTGTGTGTGTCTAAAACCAGTTTTTATCTAATGCTGCCTCACTCGGCATGTCTTCACTGTTGTGCTGAGTCTGAAACTTAACTTTCACTTAAAATGACATGAGCTTCTATCACACTACTGTGTGCTATCTTTACTACAATAATAATCTACATGAGCCGTGATTATTTGAAACAATGGACCCTTATGTACTCGTCACACGTCAGGCCCGTGTGCTGTTATCTTTTCTGTAAAAAAAACACAAAGTACCGCCGATACTTCATAGAGATAAACACAGACTAACACAGTGCAGAATGGTTGATCAAAGTGTTATTAAATGCAATTTAATTAAACAATTTCCTCTTATTAAAGTGTGCACTTGTTTTTTTTTTTTAGCCTTTTGGAAAAATTTACCACTGTACTGTTTTTAGGGACAATTTCCTTTATAAGAATGAGGATGTTTTTTGTATTTCATTACAAAATAAGTTGGCCATAATGTATGTTTGCATGTTTAATTTTGTTCTGTTTCTTATGTTAACACATCTGCACCACATAGGAGAAGAAGCTGTGTTTATTTGGTGTTCATTTAGTGTCCGTCTTCCTCCTTCAGAGCTGCTGACCCTGTTCAGTCCTGCACTGATCAGTCCTCTGTCGGATCAAACAAACCCGTACAGCCCTCAGTTTGTTCAACACAGGTACAAACCCACAGACGTGTTACTCTGGTTTTCTTCCCATGATTTGACCAATATTTAAACTTGTTGCGTTTGATTTGCAGCTCACTGGTGGAGCAGGCAAAGGAAGTCTCCCGCTACCTCCAACACAATCAGGTAGTTCATGAAAGTACGCTCTCTTTGGAAAAGAATTTGATTAAAGTCACCTTTTGCTTAATTTGTCTTGTTAATTGTGATGACTCCACACTGAGGCTTGTTTGGGAGTGAGCATAAAAACTAACTTATGAATCAACTGTATTGTCTGCAGACGTTTGAATCAGCTGTTATTTTTTTTATTTCAGGTCGTTGATGTGGAGAAAGACTGGAAGATTCTCCTTCTCTTTGTTCAGGTGGATCAGCTCTGTCCCTGTGAGCAGCAGCAGGTAAGAAGAAGAACTGACAAGAAAGATACATGTGCTGTGTTTAAATCAAATCACTTGTTCTATTTTTTTTTTTACTTTCACCAGTCAAATAATGTGCACATGAAGGCAAGTCATGATGGAAAAAGAATGCTTAGTCGCTATTCTATCCCCTTCTTCAAACATTTATCAGTAAACCAAAACTCTGCTTTTGGAGACAGAGAAAACGTATATAAACTTGGACAATTGAGAGGTGATCTGAAAGGTTATTTGTGTCTCAGACTGTTCTTTGTCTGCAGGTTCAGTCTGTAGTCCGAGCCGTGGTTAAAGACGTGGATGAGGCTCTGCAGCTGTTGCACTCTCAGGTAGATTTAGAGTGACACAAAAGTATTCACAACTGCTGTGTTTGACATATATTAACACATTCCTCCACATTTTGTTTCACTCCCCTGTGCCACAGCTGAAGAGGACCATCGTAAGTGTGGCACTGTGGGATGGAGAGCACGACAGTTGCCAGAAAAAGTGAGTTTATACATAAATTATCTTTTTCTTTTTTCGGGTGAATCATCTCTGGCTTAACATCAATCCATCAATCATTATTTGTATACACCACAATTCATAACAAGCGTTCTCTCGAGACGCTTTACAAAAAGCAAGTAAAAGACCTTACTCTTTTTAATTTAATATTACAAAAGAGCAGATAAAGAGTGTCTCACTTACATCTTTAGCTTTTCGATGAAACAAGGCTTTTACAACAAGCCTTTTAGTTTATGACATTAAATATATGTTTTATATGTGACACAAGTCTGTCTCTATTATTTAGGCAGGTAGGTTTTTTAGCCCCTAAAAAAATGAATTTAAAAAAGAAAAAAATCACAAGACAAGCAAAAAACAACAAATGAGTCTCCTACATACATATGCCTACAGGGACTACAGATGCTAAATCAGCTCATAGCTAACTGTGGTTCAGCTAATTATCTGAACACTGTCCCTGTCAAAATAAACACAACAAAAAAATAATGTTAACAAAACAAAGAGATTTATAAAAGGAGCAATTTACCTGAAGCTACAGTAAAATCAGAGTTTAAGCGACATATGAAGATGTGATTCTCTAAACACAAACGTATTGAGTTGTTAACTCTCTCTAACTGACAGGATGTGCATGGAGACAAACAGTGAAGGAGAAGTCAGACTGCTCAGGGCCATGCTGAGTCAGGCTCTGCAGGTTTGTGTGTGCTTTTTTTTTTTTTACATAATAAAATATCTGCCTGATGCATTGAGGGCGTTCGTTTTTTTTTATTTACTCTTTGAAACTTTCTGGTGACTTTCCATCTTGACTGCAGGAGTCCTTGGATGAGCTGCTTGTAAAGAAGAGCTGGTTCAATGACAGAGATGACTTCACTGTGATTCTGCAGGACACGCCGTTCATCCCAGACATTTCATCTGTCTCTGTGAGTCACAGGCACAAACTATCTCTCTACACCTTTAATTCATTCATTCATCTTATCTCCACTTAAATGTAATGCTTAATTGTGGTAAATCATTTTTCCACAATAAAAGTGCATAGCTTAAACTCTTACAGTATTTGATTGTTGATCTATTTTTCTTTTTTTATCATTTGCCTTTTCTTATTATTTATCTCTTTATGCAAGAACCCAGACATTACAAAGAAAAGGTGGAAACTAAGATGTTCCCAAATTTTAAAAAAAAGACCTATTTCCAGAGACTAAGGCAGGAAAGTGTTCACATTTCTGTAGCAGTCCTGTATCCTCTAGCTGGGAAAGCAAAAAGTGAAAACTGGTTTGATTGTTTCTGTTGTCACCTAGCAGTCTTATCTTTCACATTTACCCCGGAGTCTGATTGGACACACAGGTGCTGACAGGAAGTGACCAGAGGCACTCTAATCAGTATAGAAACCATCTTATAAGTCGTTGTTTATCAAACAAAAACCATCGTTACAACCATCATCATCATCAATAATATCAATAAACATCATCATTAAGTTAAGTTAGGTATTCATTAAAGAGCTGGGTCTTTAGCTTTTTCTTAAAGGTGCAGAGGGACTCTGCAGATCGAATGGAGTTTGGGAGTTCATTCCACCACCGGGGGGCAACAGAGGAGAAGAGTCTAGTCAGCGTCTTAGGACCCTGTTGTGAAGGTTGGATCAGACGCCTTTCATTGGCAGAGCGTAGTGGGCGGGAGGGAGATGAGAGAGTTAAAGTAAGGAGGAGCCGTTTCTGTCGCTGTTTTGTAAGCGAGCAGCAGAGTTTTAAATTTGATGCGAGCAGTAACTGCTTCTCAAATAAAGAAAACAGTGTGCTCCACTACGGTCTCTGCACACTAGAAGTCAAACTGACCGAAGAAGTTGAGACACAAATCACAAAGATTCAAAACATGGAGTACTTACAGTATTCCATGTGCGCCCACCCTGGGGGGACGGATAGCCTAGTGGTCATGTTGCCCACCCCATGAACAGAGGCTATAGTCCTCGTGTCAGTGGGCCGTGGGCTCAGATCTGACCTCTTTGCTGCATGTCATTAACCCTTCTCTCCTCCAAATGTTTCCTGTCTCTTCAGCTGTCCTATCCAATTAAGGCAAAAATATCTTCTTTTTACTTTTGATACCTGAGTAAAGTTTATTTTAAAGGTGCACTATGGAGTTTTGGTAGAGAAATGTGAAAGGTGTACAGATTCTGTGGTATATGTTCATAACTCCATACACAAACTGTCCTCAGAGGAACATTTGGTCCAGGGATGTCAATTGGCAAGTTCAATAAAGTTCACAGTGCAAAGTTTATACTGTATAATCAGAGCATGTTTAGTCGTGTTGCTTGGAATCAAGACAAATGCCAAAAAGATTAAAAAATTGCCAAAGTCTTACGAGAGATGAAAACGCCCTCATCGTCTGTGATAATTCTACATGAGTGTTTGTGACACTGACAGATGCAGAGACTTGGTCATCGTACTGTAGATGTACTTTCTGTATCTAACTTGCGTTTATTTTTTTCTACAGAGTGGGAAGCCTCTTTCTGAGTCACAAGTGTCACAACAAACTGATAAACAGCTGGTGCAGATGTGGACAAACCTGGTGAGAAGAACTCTCTCTCACACACACACACGCACACACACAAACCAAACGACATACAGAGTTGTTGTTCTCTGTGTTGCAAACATGAAAACAAAGAGTTTTCTGTCTTTCAGCTGCAGCCCACAAATGGCCAACATAACACAGATGACAATGGAAAGATCATCGCACTGCCATGTCCAACCGAGGTGAGAAACAATCTGTGCCAGACCGTACACACACGCTGTCCAATCAGCACGTCAAAGCCTGAAGTTACACATAACATGCTTGGAAAATAGATCCCACCTTTCCATGCTAATATTCCACCCTAACTTCTTTCCAATTTAACACCCAACGCTCTTGTTCCTCCTCCTCCTCCTCTCGGTTATATTCCTCCCTCCCCAAAGCACCGACCCTTCCTGAGGACGGAGGGGAACTCTCCCTCGTATCACCACCATGGTGAATCTCCTCTCGTTCTCCCAGTGAGTATAGTGTCATAGTGAGCCTGATGGAGGCTTTAGTGTTGTGCGTGTCCTGTTTGGTTCTCAGCGTGCATGTGCTGTGTGTGTGCACTCAGTTTACAGGCACAGAGATGCCCTGTGAGGACTTTAGCACCTCGCCCTCCATACCTGCCACAGGTAAGCTGGTTTGGACATGACATGTTTGCTTCTAACAGGCGAAAAGGTCAAATTATGCTTTCAGGGAAGCCTTAAATGTACAAAGATAGACATTAGGGAATTAGGGTTCATTTGTCACACATAGGTTTTTTATATTCCAAGATCATCAAATTGATGATAACTGATGAGATTTTTTATTATCTTTCAACTAAAATAACAAACTTATATTATAACAAACTTTACTCTGTTTCATCCTTGTGTTTGTTTCTTGTCTATCACTTATCATTTCATAAATCGTCTTTAAGTCTGTGATTTCCTCTGCAAACGTTACTTTTTATGTCATTTTATGATGATGAGTTATCTTATGACGAACCATTTCTTCGTCCTTTCAAAGATTTTCACTGAACTACTACTTTAAAGTATTACTAGCTAATATTATTGCGAAATCATTACAGTCACAGGCGTTTTATTATCTAGTTGTGCAGCCATTTGAATGTCCTGCCATCATATTAATTCTTCTTTGTGTCCTCTTTCATTTTCACAGTTCATGAACTCCGGCCCGGAGATATCAAAGTGGTTGCTGCTGTGGGAGACTCTCTGACTGTACGTAGTTTTGTTATTACTTTCAGAGAATAGAAAACACAGAGGAAGGTGAAGAAGAAACAGTTCGTATTGTGTGAGATATCAACTATAAAGTACAATGTTGAAAACAAACATTTACATTTACTAATTACTGTATACCGACACTGGTCAGAAAATTCTGCTTATTGTTGAATAGAACAAGTGGAAACATTAAGTCATACTCTATACTGTGAGTTGAAGGACTATAGTTCCATAGCAACCAAACATAACTGTATGTTGTATATATTTATACCTACAGTCTTTACTGTATATGTATGTACAAGAGAGTAGATACATGTGGTAACAGAGCGTCTGAAAAGTGATATCGAACAACATACATTTTGAACACAGACACCATTTATTTGATAGGACAGTGGATAGAGTAGGAAACAGAGAAGAGAGAGAGAGAGAGAGAGAGAGAGAGGGGAATGACATGCAGGAAAGGAGCCACAGGTTGGACTTGAACCTGGGCCGCCCGCTTGGTGGACTACATCCTCTTAAAGGTCCCATATTATGCTTTTTCTGGTTTTATATGCCCTTTAGTGTGTTTTCCAAGTGTCCTGTGCATGTTTAGGCACATCTATGTGCAAAAATTCAAAGTCCACGGAAACACAGCTTCTCCTACGTCCTCCTGTTAGCTGTAGCATTAGCTGCATGTAACGCTCGGTTCTAGCCCCCCTCGATAAAAATGTGTCAGTCCGACGTCATTGTCAGTGTGAGATCACTGATCTAAGCCCATTGGCTCGTTGTGGCAAGCCCTGCAGCTCATGTTGAAATTTCCGAGACGCGTGCTGAGCAACTGACCAATAACGACAGAGCGGATCGGCAGACCAATCAGAGCAGACTTGGCCCACGTGGGGTCTAACAGTGGGGCTCAACAGAGTGTAGCTGACGGACTCAGAGCGTAGAGGGAGCAAGGAGGAGCAGTACATGAAAACAGACACTTTTTTATAACTTTAGCTATTGTGAACGTACAAAAGTAGATACATAGATTAAATATACGAACCCCAAAAAGGGCAGAATATGGGCTCTTTAAATGGGGCGAAACATAACCGCTAGGCCATCTGCACCCCACCCAGACACACATTCTTACCACATTAAATTAGAATTTCTATTTACTTCATTTGTTCAAGTTTTTTTAAGACTGAGCTTCTCGTGATTGAAAGATAACCAGCACATGAACCAATAATGAAAATGGTTTAATAAAAGTCCAAAGACTACTTCCTGTAAACTTCCTGTAAATATTACAGAAATGAAAAGAATCCCATTTTTCATATCTACAGTAAACCGTCTGATAGAGGTCATAGAAGGTCATGTTACTAAAACTCTGTCCTGTTCTGTGTGTCAGGCAGGGAACGGGATTCCAACCAGCCCCAACAACATCCTGGGGGTCCTGCAGCAGTACAGAGGATTGTCCTGGAGGTCAGGCAGCACAGATACTGCAGAACAGAGCTCATATATATGTTCTAGAGTTTGTCTAATTATATAGTCTTATTTTAGTTTGAAAAAAATGTGATCATCATTTTAACGCTGCTCGTGTGTTTGTATTTTTTGCAGTATCGGTGGAGATGAAAACCTCACAAGTGTCACCACACTGCCCAGTGAGTCTCTTTGATTAATGCTTTAGATCACGTTAAAATAAGTTTCTTTATAATGGGAAAAAAAAAACATGTGTATTTCTCTTCTCTTCCTCTGCTATCATAGACATCTTAAGGTATTTTAACCAGAACCTGACAGGCTACTCTCTTGGAATTGGTCAACAGAACACTCCTCAGGCTTCCCTCAACCAGGCTGTGACTGGAGCTAAGAGCAAGTACGTTTAGACAGAGGTTGTTTTTTGGGGGGTTTTGGCAGCTTTTTAAAAGTTTATTAATCAAATAATACAGTTTGTTGAGCTCAGAAACATGGAACCATACATCACAGTTGTTAGCAGGCCGGAGGCGCCAGTAGCCTAGTGTTTAGTGCACATAGTCCTCCAAGCGGCCCAGGTTCTTACCTTACCTGTTTCTGACTCTATCAACTGTCCTGTCTCTTAATAAAGGCATAAAAAGACCAGAAATAAATCTTTAAAAAAAAAAGTTGTTAGCAGGCCAAGACATTAAAAAATCTAATAATAAGTATGCTATTTTAAATATTCACATCAGGTTTTATTTCTTATTTGTATTTTTGATTTCAGGGATGTACCAAAACAGGTGCGAGCCTTAGTGGCAAGGATGAAGAATGACTCAGTAAGTTTATATGTTTATACAGATTCTTTACATATCGCTTATTAAAATCATCTTGCATAACTTATATCCACCTTGGAAAACGACATAGTAAGTCATTTTTGCCTCTAAGACGGCATTTGATTCAGACTTCCAACAAGCAACACCTTATTCATCATGCCTCTCATTTCACTTACAGTTGGAAAAAAACAAAAACGAAACACGACTCACATTTGCTCACAATCTCATGTCTTTTGCAGAGAATCAATTTTGAGTCCGACTGGAAGGTGATCACCCTTTTTATTGGAGGGAATGACGTCTGTGACCACTGCTACAACTCTGTGAGTACTAATGTGGAGTAATTACAAATTCATGAGTAATTTTCTTCCGGGGTTAAAAAAAAAAGGAACACCTAAAGATGCTTTCCTTTTCTCTACAGCTGCTCTACTCTGTGGATAATTATGTTCGTAATGTCCGTAACAGCCTGGATTATCTACATAAAGAGGTAAAATTTAATGGACATGCTGCTACCCTCTCAGACAGACACTGTTCAGTTTTTTTTTTTTAATCATCTTGGCCTGTCTCTGCCAGGTCCCCCGTGCTCTGGTGAACTTAATAGAGCCTCTTCATATTCTCCCGCTGAGAGAAATGCACACGGACGCTTCACTTAAATGTCCGACTTGGCTCGTAAAGTAAGTACCAGTTTTTCTCCCAGCCTTTCTGTAAAGCTTTCTGAAATATAAAACATTTGAAAACGTTTTACAACAGCACAGATAGTCATCATGGCTATCCATTAACTGGCATCTCATTTATAATCATAAGATGTGATGTAACAACCTTTTTTTATCTCTCCGGTGATTTATAGAATTCTGTGTCCTTGCGTTATCTTACCAAAGGCCAACTCTCAAGCTCTGCAAATGTTGGAGAACCTGAACAGAGGCTATCAGGTTGGAAAGAACAAAATATTCAATCAAAACTATGATCATTGAGATACCGCTTTATCTTCAGACACAGACACCTCTCCTTCATTTTTCTTTAAGCATGCACTGTCTGAGCTGGTGGAGTCAGGCCGCTACGATACTCGCTCAGACTTCACTGTGGTCATCCAGCCTTTCTTCAGAGAAATCATCGTTCCCAGACTGCCGGTCAGTAACAAAACTGTGTTTCTCACTAAGATGTCGTAAGTTTCATCAATGAGATGCTGTAGCCAACATATAACCATTAGTTATAGTGGCAGGATTATAAGAGTATCTTGCTCTTGATGTATTTTCCAAACTCTTACAGACTTTAGTCTTTTTATTAGAACCAGGACATTCACTGATTGGAAAAAAAAAGGTGGGTCCAATGGTTCTTTTATTGATCATACCTTTTGTCACAGGATGGCCGTCCTGATCGCTCCTACTTCAGTGCTGACTGTTTCCATCTCAGCCAGAAAGCTCACACGCTGATGGCCCGCTCCCTCTGGAACAACATGGTAAGAATCAGACTAGAGGGAGATCTTTCAGTTTACCTTTTGTGTCATAATTTGCAGAGGCGCTTAACTTAACAAACTTTTGGTTGGTGTTGATTTTGGCGCCCCCTGTGGACATATTTTGTCCTGCCCATGTAAGAACAGTGTTTATCAAATCAGATATCACGTTTTTTTTTGTTAGTTAATTATAAAACTAAATATTAAAATAAATATTCAGCCATCATGCTCACTTTTTGTTTTCCCAGTTGGAACCTCTCGGAAATAAAACTTCCAAACAGGATTTTTCTGCAGACCCTGACATCAGCTGTCCAACCAAGGTAGGAAATCCATTCAAGTAGAGATTTAGTTATAACGATGAAGGTGTTTGTAAATTCTGTGATGACTCGATTAAGCGAGGGAATGCTCAGACGGCTGTTCAACGTCTAAGTGTACGATTCATTTGTGTTCCTTGGCTTCATCACTTCATCAAAGTGACTTACTGTTTGGTCTATAGACTTCACCTTACATTCGGACCTACAACAACAGTGATTACTCATATGCTGGTCCCCCTCCAACACCTGGACCTATCCAGGTAAGCACATAATCTGAGATCTCACTTTTATGACAAAATAAAAAATCCATTATCTGATTATAAAAATGATTAATGATTAATGATTAATATGATTAAAAACTAAACCTTGTTTGGCCGTGGATTCATGCTTGCACAAACTAAGATGTATAGATGTTGCATTTCCTTCAAGGAGCGTGTTGTTCTCTATTTTGTGACGTTTTATGAACTCAACTATTTACACAATGTGATTTGATGTTTCTTTCACCTTAGAACTGGGGAAGTGACTTCTCATGCGTGGACCTTGCTCCATCTGACTCTGTGCCAACTTTAGGTGACATGAAAAGTTCATTTTGCTGTTTTTTTCTGTTCACCAAGCAGAACTTCAGTTTTTGGATGTGCATGCTGTTTGATATTTTTGTATGAACTCTTTCATATAACTACAAAGATAAAAACACCACTGTTCACCTTTCTACTTTTAAACCAAAAGTGACACAGATGATGAAAGTGCTCCAGATGCTATTAAGATTTGCACAATTTTCTACAGACATCAAACTAATTTGAAAATGCTGTAATTACATTCAAAAGACACAGATAGTGACTTCAAGTGAGGGGGGAAATGACTACAGGAAGGTGGGGTTGATGGGGGGGGGGGCAATCAGTGTCAAATATTGCAAAGTAGAGCGAGGTTGTTTGTAGTGTACCTTGATTTCAGCAGCATCGTCTCTTTCTTTTATCTGAAGTTCACCAGCTGAGACCAGCAGACATCAAGGTGGTGGCAGCACTGGGAGACTCGTCAACGGTCAGTGTCCTGCACAAAAAGATATCCAGATTATTTCTGGGTCAACTGTTAGACGCATATAAGAAAAGTGCACATCTTTCACCAATGTTAGCAATAAAGGACAATGAGTAATTGACAGATAACAATCACGCACATACTAATATATTATACTGTATGTACTGTATGTGTCTGGGAAAGGGGGAAGTAAAAATTGCAACTCAGCCCTTACTGTAAACCTGTAGGTATCAGCTATTTACTGCCATTGAACTATGAACTATCTAATCCATTTGTTATCAGCCAGATAACCATTGATGCTTACAGCTTTTATGTAGTGCTGTTCCATCTTTGATACCATAATTATCTTAGTAATAATCTCACTTCCTACTTTTTTTTTGTCTTCCAATGTGTCCTCTTTGCTCCCCTGTGTTCACAGGCAGGCACAGGCGCTAAAGCAAAGACTTTGTTTGACCTCAATAAGGAGTATAAAGGAGTATCATGGAGGTATGAGCTGCCTGCACAATACGTTAGGTTTAAGTGACTCTAACATTAGATCACATTGTATGTTCCAGGCTGATATGTTGTGGCTTTTTCTTCTAGCATTGGCGGGGATAAATCTCTGGAGACTGTCACAACACTACCAAGTGAGTATGCTTGGCAAGGAATAGTTTCTCTGAGTCACTTTATCGCACAAGAATTAAAAATCTCTCCAACATAATTCTGGGGATTTGTGTTTGTTATCTGCAGAGGAGCAGTATTTGTAGTATTGGAGATCTCTCAGCCAGTTGTAATCTTAATTGGGGACGTTTTTGCAAAACACTGGGCCTCAGAGAAAGAAAAACGCACACACTTGGAAATTGATTAAAAGAAGTGGAAAAAAATATGTTAATGAAGGGAAGCACTTTCGCCGCTTCCATCTGTCTCAACCTGGCTCTACAGTATGCGACAAAAGAGAGAGACCACACACAGTCATATATTTTAATTAGACTATTCTGTTACGTGGTTTTGAGCCATGAGAGGAGTCAGTGTGCATGCAGTGTTGAGTGTGTGTGTGTGTGTGGGTGAATGAGTACATGTCGTCAACACAGTATAATACAAACACATACTGACAGCAGTCTGCAGGTCAGGGAAGAGAGCGAGAGGACTAAGCAGGTCTGCTTTATGGCCTCCTAAAATCAGCCTGCTCATGTGTGTCGATTACAGAGTCCTCTCAGACTCCGCCCACATTTCCTGCAACAAGGGAAACAAAGCCAGCAAAGGGGAAGAACAGACAGGTAGAGAGGCCAACCCTGAGGCCGTCACACCTCATAAAGAGAACTTTCTTTTAGGGCACAAGATCTGTCACACAAGTTACATTCGTATGGGCGTAATCAACATGTTAAACATATAAGTACCTTAATCCAAATGACTAACGAGTTAAAACGACTTACTGTCAAATAATTTGTCTTCATTTCTGTATACGGCGCACCACTGAAAGCTGTGTCTTAGATTACTAGTTCAAAAGTCTATCCGTTGCAGGAGCAGAAACTTTACCTGCTACAGTGAAAAAAAACAATAGTGTGCTAAGTACCATACCTTCTTTCCCTTTCTTGTTGTAGACATCTTGAGGAAGTTCAACAACGCCTTAAAGGGCTTCTCCAAAGGCGTCGGCTCAAGACAGAAGGCCTTCAACATGGCTGTACCTGGAGCTAAAGCCTCGTATGTACATTTTCCTTTAGTTCCTCTTCCTGAGTGAAATGTTTCACCAACCCTGTCTTCCCTCTTACGCCTGCTGTATGTGCTTGTTGTGTTACAGTGAGATCCCAGCACAGGCCCAAGCTCTCATCAAGGCCATGCGGGAAAATAAGGTAAAACTGAAACCTACAAGAGACTGAATGGTTTTGATGGTTGCTGCTCTGACAGTTGTAATGCCAACCTCTTTTTAGCGGCAGTGAAACTGAACGTTAGCTAACAGTAATCACCTTTACTGTAGAAGATGTTTTTCAAAGGTGTCTACCTCCTCCATGCTCATGTTCTATACACTTACTACACAGGACGTGAACTTTGAAAAGGACTGGAAACTTGTCACAATATTAGTCGGCGGAAATGATCTTTGCAGTTACTGCATAGACCAGGTAGGTGTTCCTTAAACGCCATGTATTGTACATAAATAGCCCCGTTGATTTTGTAATGAAACTCAACATACTTTTTCATCTCTGCAGAATAATCTGTCACCTCAGAATTATAGTCACCACATCATGCTCGGTTTGGACATGTTACACAAAGAGGTAAGATATTATAAACTTGAAGTTATTGTCATCTGCCTTCCTTGGGAGTGCATGGGGGCCATGTTTACTCTTCACCCTCTTACCCCTCCTCTCCTTGTTTCTTTAGGTACCAAGGCTGCTGGTTAATGTTGTGGAGCTCTTCCAGATAGATACTTTGAAATCAGTTAAGGAGAACACACTTGGCTGCTCTCTCCTGCAGAGGTTTGTTTGAGCTGTTTTTGTGTGTTTTTCATCCTCCTCTCGTTGTGTAACATCAGAAGCCATAGGATATTGAGGCAAATCAAATCAACATTCACATTATTTTATAACGTTCAACGAGTCAACAGATGTTTGCAGTCCCCTCCAGCTTTCCAGACCATTTAAAGACCTCATGAAACTGAACTCGTAACTGCCTTGTTGGGGCGTATTTCCAACTAAAATGGGATATAACCAATCACAAGATAGAAGGCGGGACATAAAGTTGGGATTAATTTGATTGGATCTTTAGCGTCGACAAAACTCTTACATTGGTCCAAACATTAGTAAACGCCGCTGAGTGCAGGATGAGTCATCAGTCCTTGCAAACGTTTCACAGGGAAGAGAAAATACATTATTTTGTTGTAAAAAATATTCTTTTGCTTTTTTTTTTTTTAAATGTATTTGGCAGATTATGGGGAACATTTTTTTTTCTTTCATGGGGACTTTAAGCATCTTTTAGCTTATTGTTTTTGTTAGTCTGTAACTTTATGATTTTGTTCTGCTATGTGTTAGTGTTTTAAGCTGCAGCGAGTAGACTACAGAGAGCTCCACCAAACAGCACACAGAAAAGTGAATCAACTGGTTAAGATGCATAAACTGAAGAGCCCAATGTTTCCTTCAGGAATTAATGAATACCCAAAACAAGTGAAAGGAGAGCTGAATGCTGGACTCAATACAAGACCAAAAACATCTCCAAATGAAGGACTTTTTGCTTTGTGATTGCTGAAAGAAGCTATACGCAAGAACAACTTTAAAGGTCAAATGTCAAGTCAGGTTAATATTTGTTTGTGCTGCCCTCAGGTGGTTAAAAAAGGAGGAATGTGTTTAACCTACCAAATGTTAAGATGAATTCAATTGGTTTAGTTTGCCCTTAAAGGCTTGAAATGAGTAGAGACAAATGTTATCACATTCACACTTCGACCAAACAGCTTCAGTGGACGTAAAGTCGACATTGCGGTGTTTCTGGAAACATAAGAGTTGCTGGAAGTATCTTTGATTCAACCATTTTTATGCATTGACCTTAGCTCATTAAAGTTTCATTTGAGATCTGATTCCTCTTTGTTTCTTAGAAAATTTTAATAAATGGGAGTTTTTCTTTTACAGGACCAGCTGTCCCTGCGTCATCAACCCAGCTGAAAACTCCCCAGAGCTTGAAGTGATAAAACGTGTAAACTCCGAGTATCAGGTACAAGCAAAGAGCTCCTTTAAGCATCTTTTTTTGTATTTGCAGGGTTCCCTCTTTTATTCCTCTAAATTTCCTCTCTCTTTCCTCCCCAGGCTGAGATCCAGCATCTTATCTCTGGAAATCGTTACGAGGGAAAAGACGACTTCGCTGTTGTCCTTCAACCCTTTTTACAGAATACCTTTATCCCTCAAGTCGGGGTAAGTTACAAAAATATCCAGATTTATCCAAGCAATTACGTCACATTAGTATTAAAGGCATCTGTTTTTTAAAATGTGATCTCTTAACAGGCAGGAGAGGCTGACTCCAGTTTCTTCTCTGTGGACTGTTTCCACATCAACGAGCGAGCTCATGCTGAGATGGCCATTGCCCTCTGGAATAATATGGTAAGCGTGGAGGAATAATGGACCAAACTACAGCTCATTGATAGTTTTTTTTTAGGTTTTACATCATTGATCTTTCTGTCTACACAGTTGGAGCCAGTGGGCAGAAAGCAGGCATACAATAACTTCACATATGACCGCTCGAAAATCCATTGTCCCTCTGAGGTATGTGTGGAGAGAAGTATCAGCTCACAACTCTTTTTGTTACAACAACTAATTCATTTGTTTGATCGCCTAAAGTGTTCAATATTACATAATAAAGTATGAGAAGAAATGTATAATGATGGAAGTATAACAGGGCCATTTTGATAATAAGTTACTTGAACTTTTATCGTATCTCAAGTTATGCTGAAATGTAATTTTATATATTTTGATGTTTTTTTGGCTTTTATGTTTGTGATCTTTTTTTTAAACTTTGGATTGCATATTTATGTTTTTTTTTTTTTTTGGGGGGGGGGCATGGGAAAAGGGCGCGATTCTTTAAAACCGAACCAAAACCAAACCAAGACTTTATGAATACTTTTGTCCTGTTTTTTTTTCCGACTTTTATGACATAAAGAAAATAAGAAAATATGTTTAAAAAAATCAATTTTGGATTTACGAATGGTCATATGATCAATCAAATAAACATTTTATTATTGCAGCCCTGATGTTTAAAAGACTTGGGTTGCTCTAAAATAATTATAGGCTATTTTTAATTTTTCAATAATTATTATTTAATAATTAACACTTTGAGTCTTGTCAATACTAAACCTTTATCTGAACAATAATTTCACATACTTGTCTGCTCTGTTGTTTGTTTCCCTTTAGGCTAATCCCTTCATCTTCACTAAAGTCAACAGTGTACGAAGTCCACCAGTGACCATCACCACCACAGCCACCAGCTTTACCAGCCCTGCATCAACAGTCATTGTGCCTTTATGTCCCCCCTCTTTGCCTGTGTGGGTGCCAGTGATTGTGGGAATCCTATGTTCAATGGCTGGCATTATTTTTGCTTGGCTTCTTCTCTCCAGTCGAAGCAGTCGGAAAAACAAAGTGGAGAAAGCAGTGGAACTGAAGGGAACTGGTTTTTAATTGTTCCTACAACGCTGTATTTATTGTGATCATGATATTGAAGCCTTAAAGCTGCCTCGTAAAGTTTTTGACCACAAGCGGGCACAATGTCCAGAAGAAATACTTAGGGGCAACGCAGCGGCCTTCTTTCTTGCCAATTTGACAACTTGACCAATTCCTCTGTGTCTCTTTATCTCTCAAAGACACAGTTCTCTCTTGTGAAAAGTCAGTTCTGGTGTTTTGATGTGGGAGTAGCTGTTGTGATTTTGTGCTGGTGTTATAAGCTTTTGAAACCAAACACTTGGGTTAACCCTAACCCAATAATCTTGAAATTATATGAACAACTAACTTAAAAAAAACCGCTAAGAGATGCATAGAGTGGCATACTGGGGTGTACATTCGTTTTAGTTGAAGTGCAAATCGCACTGTGATCACATTTTAGAGAATAATGTGGTTTGTCTTGAAAATACAAATTTATTGTGCCTCAGGTATGTGAAAAGTTTTTTTTGTTTTTTTTACCTTTATAGAATGGTGTAGAATATTCAATACTGTACTGACCTTGATGAATCTGTTTGTTTTTTCTTTTTTCTTTTTTTTCATTTCGCTTTACAAATTTTTATTTATTGAGAAAATAGAACTAATTAAACATTGAAGCCATAGTTTACTAGTGTATACTTTGTGAACTGAAAAAGCAAGGAGTCGTGTGCCTTAAACTGTTTCTGGATATCTGATGTCATCATTTTCTAGGTGATGAAAAACACTCGATACAGGTCACAAATACACACAAGTTGTCTGTAAACTTAATGTGCAGGAAACAAGGAGATATAGTTTGATACTGAATGATTGTTGCAAATCCAAAATAGATTACATAGGCTATGTCAACAAACTTATAACCGTGACAGGAAATTATTCAATAAACCCATATCCAGATATGAGAGCAGTGATCAGGTCAAACCAACAGGTGTTGCAGCGATGGAAGCGGGCAAGAGAAGTGGTTCAGATAGAAGTGATTGTACCCGACCTAAAAAGCCTCTGCATGTTTCTAATAAGCTCCACGAGCAGAAACGTGCTCAAACTATAGGATCAATATTGGAGATGCTTTTTGAAAAATGGAGTGAGGTTAGAACACAGAAAGGTTTACAGACCCTTGCAGAGCTGGCTAAACACTGAAGCTTCAGTGTCCACCACATGGCATATTGCTTCTAAGAAAAGTATACATGTTTTTTTACAACCTAGAATTTGTAAATGTGGTCTGGTCGTCTAGAAATACAAGAAAGTTGTTGAGTGGGGGTTAAAAAAAAAAAAAGATTACCAACCTTTTATTTATCTTCATACTCAAGAGCATGGCCATCTGGTTTCTTTTAAATTCAGGATCTCATTTTAACTGTAACATAAAGACAAACAGGAAAAATTCAGCCAACAGATTAAGTTTCCTTGTTTCTGTTTCCTCTAAAAGGAAAAGCCCCTCAGATTAAAATAGCTACTTAATGTACATGACTAATAATAATAATAATAAAAACTTAGTTAGAGCCGACGCTGCTGATAACTTGGGTGATCTGTGTTTATTGGCTCCTTATAGGAGGGCCTGTCCTCTTTAAGCCTTACAGCCCGTGTTCAGGGCTCAGTTAGCCTGTTAGCCTGCTAGCCTGTGTGAGCATCAGAAACATGGCGGAGAGCGAACTGAACGTTGACAGCATCATCTCTCGATTGCTGGAAGGTAGGACAGCATTGTTATTTGTGGTCTTTCTGGGTCCTTATTTAACAAATCGACAGCTCTATGTGCTCTTGTTTACATCTAATAACTTCACAAGTTGTTAAAATTCCATTTTAACATTTTATTCCACGGTCTAGAATCACCTGAACGTTAAGCTAACCGTGGCGTTGAAAGCTTGTTGCTAAAGCTTGTTGCTATGCACGTTAATATAATGTACATTGTAGTTAGATTGTTTTTTTTACTAGTGGTTGATTGTTAGTTAGTTATGCTTATTGAGAGAGAAACAATTCCCATAACGGCACCTGATAGAGAGCTAACTTGGTTAAGTTAGTTGGTCGGGTAACTTACCAGTATAAAAACGAAACTAGCCTTGAAGCACATCATGTGTCGGTCAGTATTAAAACTGAATATCGTGGGACGGGTCAGAACATTCGAACGTGGTGGTTGCTTAGGAACGTCGAATGTGGTGGTTGCTTAGGAACGTTAAATGTTCTCGGTAGTTAGCTTAGCTTAGCTGCTCGGCTACCGCCTCGGACACACCCCCCCCCCCTCTCCCTCCCATTACGCAGGACATCAGTAAATCTTGTGTAATACAGGGGTGCAAATTTGTCACCTTTTGGCCAAATGCACCGTTTTTGATCCCAAATAGGTCATTTGTGTGATTCATTTAGATCTGCAATAAAAATATTTGGCGGGGGGGCATTTCTAAAAAGGGACGGAAGGTTGGGAGCGAAAAGTTAAAACAGAACATAGATATAGACAAGCAATTGTGTTTTTCTTATTGTTTGCATTGCTTCTTTAGTCGGTCTGAATGCCAAAATAGTTTGTAAATTTACTCTTAAAGCTAATATTTAAAAAACAAAAAACCTGCACCCCTCATAATATGGACATTTTCGAAATTCATCAATAGTGTTAGTCATGCGGTGAATTCCTTCCAACCCATCAAAATCAATTAAAAAAAAAAATGTGTGTAAATATCACCTTTTATTTTTTAAATATATTCTATGTTTTTGTTTATTGCTACTTAGACAAATGCACAAGGTCTGCTATTATGACACTTCTCTGAGGTACTGTAATCACCAACATGCAGTCATGCAGCCAAAGTTAATAATACATTACTAAACAAGCATGTGGTTAATTCTTTATAAATAATGCTGACATTAGACTTTTTGTCCCGCTCGGACCACACCGCCCTCACACAGTCACAAACTTCCAGCTGAGCCAACAAGCTGTTCATTCCTGTACTTGTTGCCAGTTCACAACAACTCAAAAGCAAACGCGAGTGCCATCTCTTCTTAATAGAAGCACCATGACGCTGTTGTAAACAGAGTGGGAGCTAACCACTGCCGAAAGAGCAACACATGCTCCGACTAAGAATCACTTAGTCTGTGTCTTTGAAAGATTTAGATTGTTATGCATCAGTTAGCTTCATTAAAGTCATTGTGTGAATCAGGCCTGAAAATGCAGTTATGCAGCTGTTATTCAGACTCCTTAAATATACATTTGAGTGTTCTGACAATCTTTTTGGGTCAGGGTAAGACTAATCTGTGCTCTTGATCTCCAGTGCGAGGATGTCGTCCAGGGAAGGTGGTACAGATGACGGAGGCTGAGGTGCGAGGACTCTGCATCAAGTCCAGAGAAATTTTCCTCAGTCAGCCAATCCTGCTGGAACTAGAGGCGCCACTCAAGATTTGTGGTGAGAACAGCCCCAATCAACAAAAAACACCTCTTTCTTTTGGTTTACATTTCTATGTCCGAGTTTATCATGTGACTGTTGACGCTGTAAGGTGATGAGGTAACATGTAGTAATAATGGTAAGAACCAGCCTTTAGGTATGTGGTTTCCCTCTCACAGTTATGTATTTTACAGCATGGAGCCATTATTATAAAGCAACATTAAATATATTCCTTATTCAAGTAATATAATGTTTCATCACTTTCACTTTAATGATTTAAACTGTTAAGATTCAACAATGTTGTGAAATGAGCTGTACATACCTTCCAGGTGATATCCATGGACAGTACACAGATTTGCTGAGGCTGTTCGAGTATGGAGGCTTCCCTCCAGAGGCCAACTATCTGTTCCTGGGGGACTATGTGGACCGGGGGAAGCAGTCGCTGGAAACCATCTGCCTGCTGCTCGCCTACAAGATCAAATACCCAGAAAACTTCTTCTTGCTCAGGGGGAACCACGAGTGTGCCTCCATCAATCGCATTTACGGCTTCTATGATGAGTGTAAGTTGGAGAACAGTTTGCCTCCTGAGTGTTTCGCATTCGACCAAAGAGAGGCAAATCTGAAACATTCCCTTAAAATCCTATATATAGCATTAATATTATTCTTGTTTTTGTTTCCTCAGGCAAGCGCAGGTTCAACATAAAGCTCTGGAAGACCTTCACAGACTGTTTTAATTGTCTGCCCATTGCTGCAATTATTGATGAGAAGATTTTCTGCTGCCATGGAGGTTTGTGAAACATTTCTGTCATGTAGCTTTACTGCTGACTAATGTGGATAAGATGCCTGTCATTGTGTAATTAATGTGTGATTGTGTGTGGGTTTAGAATATCAGATTATGTAACTTTAAATGAAATATTCATGAGCATTTAGTATTGAATGTTGGGTATCGTTCTGTACGGGGATTATCAGTGTGTGATCTTGTGTCCATATTCCTACAACATTGCTTAACAATTATTCAGACTATGTAGGGAAACATGCAGTTTTATTGAATGTGATGTAAAGTAATTTGTTACATGTTAGAGCTTTGGAAAAAGTACATTTCATTCAATTCAGAACATTTCATAACACTTTGAGCACGTCAGATTACAACACGCAAGTCAAGAACGCCACGTTGCTTTAGGATGAAGAAAGATCTCGTTGTACGGTGAGTCACCGTTAACACAACAACCTGTATTCCTCAGGGCTGTCACCTGATCTACAGTCCATGGAACAGATTCGACGCATTATGAGACCCACTGATGTCCCAGACACAGGTGCAGTGCTTCTTTATAAAAGTTTACTCTAAAATAGAAGATGGTCAAACATGCTGTTATCATCTGTATTGGTGGTTGTGTCATTATTATTTTACAATTTGTTTGTGCTGTAGTTCGTTTTGTGTTTTTTTGTTTTTTTCTTAAAGTTTTTCATTGAGGCTGCAAATGAAAATGAGCCCCCTTGGCTAAATCTGGCACAATGACATCACACCCTAGTGCATGCTCAATTACCTGAACATTAACAGAAAATTCAAAATGAAAATTGAATTCATGCACATTTCTTAAATATTGGTCGGACTTGCCCATCTTGCAGTCTCAGGACCTCCAAAAAAATAAATGAAATGACAAAAAAAGGTCAGAATTGTACAGAGCCGCCAGAAAGAAACTCCTACATAACTCCCCACTGAGTGACTCTGTTGCGTAACATGTTCACAACAGGGTTTCTGAGTATCACCACAACATGTTTCCTCCTCTTACTGTTTTGTTTCTGACTGCTCCATGCTTTTTATTTTTGCTGCAGGCCTCCTGTGCGACCTGCTGTGGTCAGACCCCGACAAAGACGTGCAGGGCTGGGGGGAGAACGATCGCGGAGTTTCCTTCACTTTTGGGGCCGATGTTGTCAGCAAGTTTCTCAACCGTCACGACCTGGACCTCATCTGCCGAGCGCATCAGGTAACACGTGTACCACTGAATTCAAGATATTACTTTAGAGATTTAGACAAAACACAGGACACTGATTCCAAGAAGAGAATGACGGCAGAAATTCTTGTTAGTGAAAACAAATAAATACTTACTAAGAATCAAAGACACAATAACAGTGAATTTTTGCCAAATTTGTGGGGGGGGGGGCGGGAAGACTCCAAGGATTAGTCGTTATCAAAGTTAGTGTGAAAGTTCTCAAAAATAATAAAATGGCCTCTGTTCTCATCTCAGGTTGTTGAAGACGGCTATGAGTTCTTTGCCAAGCGACAGCTGGTCACCCTGTTCTCTGCCCCAAACTACTGCGGAGAGTTTGACAATGCGGGCGGCATGATGAGTGTGGACGAGTCTCTCATGTGCTCCTTTCAGGTACAAAACTTCCGGCTACTTTTACCCTAACATGAAGTGATGATTCATATGTTTGAGTATGGATCACCACCTTTAACCTTTTCTTTTAGATCCTGAAGCCGTCAGAAAAAAAAGCCAAGTACCAGTACGGAGGGGTGAATGTAGGACGCCCAGTGACCCCTCCACGCACAGCTCAGGCCCCTAAAAAGAGGTGAGCAGCTGGTCCTGACTCTCCTCCTCCTCCTACCCCCCTCTCCCCCCCACCCCCGGCGGGTCACTGGCCCACGTCCCTGCAGGCTGCCTCAAACACTCCAGCCCTCTCTCGGTCAGCTTGTTCATGTGTTTTCAGAAACTTCAGGAGTGTTTTTTGCTTGTTCTGTGGGTATTTTTAATGAACATGTGAGTGGTATCTTTTCTCCATATTTTTCATGCCATGGTATGTATTAACTCGGCCCTCACTTCTAATATCGGTCCATTTAGCAATATGAGAACCAAACCTCTTGTGGAGTGGACAAGATGTATATACAATGCTTCTCTGCTGTCAGAGTAACAATTTCCATAGTGGTTTTGTGAATGCATGCTCGCTTGTTAATTGAGACGGGTTCTTGGACCTAGCCGTTGTAAAATCCATACTTACCCTCAGACAAGAGTTGTTTCTTGTCTCTCCTTGATTAATGTTCATGTAATCAACCTTATTAGTGCCATTGCCCCCCTCCCCCTCCTCCCCTTGTATATTTGCTAAAGTAGTGCTCTGCAAAAGGGAATACTTTGACATTTCCTGTTTGCTTTCATGCAAAAAGTTTGATGAGAAGATCGAGACAACGCTCGTCTGTCAAATATGAACCTACCACTTGGAGCAGGCTAATTTAGCTTAGCATTGATAAAGACTCGAAACGGGGGCAGAAAGCTAGCCTCCTTTTACAAAGGTCGCTGCGTTTGACTGTTTCTGTAAGTACCCATCGTTCTCTTAGGTTTACTGTAAGTTATAACACGTTCATCAGATGGTGTTCGAGGTTCTAGAAGGTTTTTATTTTTTTTGTTACCCTTAGATGAAGCCAGTCTTATCAGTATTTCTTGATGCTAGTAAAAGTGGGCTAGCTTCTTGCTGTAGCTTCCTATTTAACAGACATGTATATCAATCTTCTCATGTAACTCTTGAAACTTTGTGAAATATGCTTAAGTTTCTTTTTACCATATTTTTCCATCAACAACCAACTAGAGGACATAGCTTTTACATTCCCCGTGACTCAAGAATGTTTTTCTCTCCTTGGAGGTATACATATCCTGAGGTTTTAACAAAACAAGTGCAATAACTTGCTCAAAAAAAAAACGTTTCATATGCAGAAGGGAATAAATGCCTATTCCAGCTAAAAACAGAGGACACAGCCGACCTAATGCTGTACCTTTTTAATGGGGCGTTCACGTTGAGTAGATGCTCTACATCAGATCAGTGTTTTCAGCCTCTTCATGAAAAGCTCTCAAACTGGTTTTCACCCCTCACATCACTTCGAGAGCATAATTTCATTGAGCAATTAATCAGTGTAAAAAGTTTCATTTTTCAGTTTTGATGTAAATTGTGTGTAAAGCAGAAAAAAAAAAGAGTGGCGCCAAACACCAGGAAGCATTTTGAGTTTGTGTGTTAAAGTCACAGCAGGTGTGAAGAAAAGGAAGGACGTATCAGTGTGAGGAAGGAAGATACTAACTCACTAACTAACGGTACAGGAATCACCTTTCATAAGTTGTTTGTCTTCACATTGAACATGAATGCACTTCAGGTCATCGCCCGACGTTATATAGAAGTCAAACTCATCCAGTTAAGATGATGGCATTTTGTGTGTTGTTGGCATAATGCTAGTTATAATACATTGTTCCCACTAAACGAACAGTTAACCGATGTATTTTTATTTATTGAAATCTTGCCTTTTGCCTTGTTCATCTTATTCGGTCTTCAAGTTGGAAACGGTATGTTACGATGTTTCGAGATTTGTACGAGTGTTTCAAACGAGTGAAATAAATGGAAGTGCTGTTGAGCCTGCTCTCTCTGGTTGATTTTAATGTTCAGAAACCATGAACGATGCATGTTTGATGTGACCGCTTCAACAAAATCACGTGTTTTCAAACATTACAGTAATTTAACATTTTAAAAGTACAAAAAAGATTTATTGATTTCTAACACAAGAAGTTTTTTCTGCATGTGTGTACAGAATATAATCTCTGTGAAGGTTTGAAAAGTATTGAGAGGACTGAACTCTCTTTATGTACAGTCACAGTCTTTCTACCACAGAGAGACATTAGTGTGATTTGTGATGCAGATAGACCTCACTCAGACTTGAGGGCTTGCAGCACTGACTTTGGCACTCTGCTGATGTAGTACTCGTGGTTCCGCAGTGTAGCAAGAACCCCGGCAGAATTCATGTGCTTTACATCAGCGTTGTAGCGGTATGCATTACCATGCATGTCGGTCAGCTTACCTGCATGAGAAATGAAATAATCAAGGGGGAAATTATAGAAAAGCTCGGAAACAAAGCATGTAATAAAGCCTAAATCTGAGCTTTCATATGCAGGGTTATAAGTGCTACTAGTGTGGTTTAGCAACTCTTTTATAAAAATAAAGGCACAGAGGTGTTTTAATACACTCCTAATATCTTCCACTAAGACAGAAGTGAAGGTTATCTTACCTCCAACGGCGTGCAGAATGGCTTCAGGAGCGCAGGTGTCCCACTTCTTGCATCCTGGACTTGCGAAGACGTAAGCAGAAGCTTTTCCCTCAACGAGCTGGATGATCTGCACGCAAAGAAATGAACTCATCGACAGGTGTACTGATGATGTCATGATTTAAAGCAGCTTCCCCTTCTTGTGTTGTGAATGAACTCCAGGTTCAACTGCCCACTTTGATGGGATGACAAACCTCGGACTAAAGTGTAAGTAATGTACATCAATTATATTGTGACCACCTGTGCGATCTAATGTAATCCAAAACAGGAGTTCTATCACAAATTCTACTTTTGGGACTCTGGTCAGAAAGGGGATAATTCTACTTTATATGAATTATTTTTAAAAAAGAGAGAGAAATGTTGTTATTTTAACTTTACTACACATTTCCATCTACATGAATCCATCTTACCTTGTTTCCTGCACCACCCACTCGTATGACTTCATGGGGCTCCATGGCGTCCACGCAGTCCGTTACCAGCTTGTTACTATGAGAACGCGTGGTGGTAACAATTCGTTTATCTCCTGGGACCTCCTGCAGCTGAAATCCAAAGGCGCCCAATCCCAGTATCCCCCACATGGTCCTTCCTAAGTCCTCTCCTCCTCCGAGCTGATGGAGGAAACAGTCTCAAATCAAGCAGAGCATTTAGGAAACACATAGTGGGTCGTTTCGTTCGGTCTGTACCTGGTAGTTGTAGAAAGGCTGGTTGATGACGCCTGCAATAGCTCTGCCTCGGTATGCGATGCCAATGAGCACTGTGACATTATCCAGGAGCCCTTAAATCAGAGAGCAGCAGGATGTTAGCCACTTGAAGACTGAAATGTTTCTCTTGTGTCTGACTAAAATAAAGTGTTAGCAAAAAAGAAAACATGCAGTATGAAAGGACTATAAGAGCTGTAGGTTTTTCCAAGTCAAAGATTGGTTTCTTGTTGGTGCACAATAACAGTTTCTTTCTGTTGTCTTCCCATACAGAGAGCTGTGCTTTGAACTTGAGAGGTGTCCAACCCTTTGTGCAGTATCTGGGCGTCAGTTTGGTGACGGAGACACCTTGATGCTAAGGGCAGCAGGAGAAGAGAAAGAGAGAGAGAGAGAGAGAGAAACAAGGACACACAAAGAAGGGAAAGAAAAATAGAAAAGTGATATTGAAGCCCTCGCAGTCTAAAAGCACAAAAGCCAGCGACAGAATAACACAACCAAATCAAAAGGAACTCAAGGAATCAGAAACTGTACATAAATACATAAACTGTGGCTACGTCCTGTTCTGACATTTACAGAAGCTCTCGGCAAACATGCATCCGTACATTTTGTTCACTTCATTTCCCCGTGATGAGGAGGAGTCATTTCAGGTTGTTTTCGCCAGATCTTATTTTTTATTGGTATCTGAGATAAAAATGCTAGTTTTTTTTTCCATTATAATGGATTCATTTATCTTATTATCTTCATATAACAAAGCTTTTATTGTGATAAGAGGGCAACTCCTGCTGATCAAGAAAACAAAACAATAGGCTCGTCCACAGTGATCGACCAGACAGTAATGTGCACTTTTTAAATGTGAATCTGACACCTCGGTGCATTAGCCTAATTGCTTTGCAGTCAACTATTCCATGTCTCCTTTACAGTATCTGTTGATTGGTAGTTTGTGAAGAACAGATGACTTGTCGTAAGAGCGTTTGATAATCAATATAAAATCGTAATTCCACAGCTGGTACTCACTGCACTATGGACATAAAGATTGCATTACTAGTGTGAGAAGCCTTTCACAACATATCTCATTTTAATACTTTGTCTCCCAGGAAGCCATGCACATCACTGTTAACACACCCAGTCAGTTTCTGTCCCTTTTCAGTTACTTGTCATAATGACAGATTTGATTTTTACCTTCTTTTTTAAGGGTTTTGGTGCTATTGACGCTTTTCTTTAGAGATAGGACAGTGGATGAGAGAGAGAGAGAGAGAGAATGCAGGAAAGGAGTCACAGGTCGGATTCAAACCCGGGTTGCCCACCTGGAGGACTACATCCTCTGTACATTGGCCATGCACACTAACCACTAGGCTACCGGCGCCCTGATTTTAACCTTTTGATTTCTATTTTACATTAGGACGGATCAAACTTTGATATCGTGCCACTGCTGTTGACTACATACATAAATGATTAATAAGAAAGCTTCAGGGTCCAGTGTTGCAACATGCTGCAAATCCAGACCGAGCCGATAATGACTGTTTCTTCTATGCCCTGATCAGAAGCAGGAGGAGTCTCTTTGTTGATAAATGTATTTGTAACGGGGGTCTCTTGAAGAAGAACTGTATCAGCCAAAACGTCGCACTTAAAGCAGAAGAATTTGACGGGCAGTTACGGAAATGGAGAAGCAAAGGTAAGGTTTTCTGGCAACAACTTCACTTACTTCTCAGGTGCATGAAGAGTAAAAGGATTGAAGAGGTCAAAAAGCTCCAGCAACACTTGGAAGTATGGAGATCATGTTTATGAACTTCATTAGACCGACACGTTTCAGCTTGTAGCCTCCATCATGAAAGTTGATCTTCATACTACATGTGTTGCGAGGGTAGTTAAATTCACACACCCATGCGCATGTTGAGGTAACGCAGATTTTGTTTAAACGCAGAATAATGTTAAGCGCATACCTTCAGTGTATTCCTTTGTACCATCCAGAGGATCAACCCAAACAACGAGCTGAGATTCAGAGAGAGAAACAATCAAGACATGTTTGTGTACACAGTAAGACGAGACAGTGTGTAACCACTCAACATCATCATGCACACATTTCTCTGTTGATACAGCTGTGCTACACATCTGTTAAGACTGTATGACACGTAGAAAAGATTATACTCTATTACTAATCCCAATAAGTTAATAGCATTTCTGATTCTCTGGTAGTTACCTCCTCCTCTTTCAGCCCGATGTACTCTGCTGGACATGTCTTCTGCAGGATTTCCTCTGAGTGACCGTTTTCAATGAGATCATCCTTGATCTCCTCCGCTGGAAGCTCCTAAACAAGTGATGCACATTAAACTTTGACTTTTCTTCAATTAAAACGGATACTAGAATTACTTCTACCAACACACTAACCACTGTAACGTTTGCTGCTTTGCTTAAGTGCTCATGATGGATAGGCCGGGTCTTTGTAACATAGCAATAAGTAAGGTCTTTTTACCTGCTTTTTGTAACATAATAAGTAAGGTCTTTTTAACTGCTTTTTGTAAAGTGTCTCGAGATAACACTTGTTATGAGTTGACGCTATACAAATAAAAACTGATTGACTGACTAAAGAAAAACCTCCAATACACTCACCTCCTCTCCAATGATGGTGATTTTGGGGAAACGTCTGGACAGTGATGCACAAATGCTCTGCTGTGCCAGTCTGTCTGCCAGTGTCTGCAGATCATTAGCTCCTGTCTGTTGATGGGGAAATGGATGAATTAGAAAACATTGCAGTCAATTCACAGAAACAGCAGGTGATAGGTACATGCTGTTTCATTCTTTCAACTAGGAGCAGTTAAATATTTGTTTAAACAACATTAAAAAAAAAAAAAAGAAAATCAGTACCACCTTTTCCACAATGCCAAGTTCTCCACTGTGAAGGACCTTTCTCACAATGGAGCCAGCCTTTTCAGCAACATTGTAGGCAGATGCCACCAGCCGCATAACCACAGCAGGACTTCCAGACATTGCTGATGGAGAAAACAATCATCTTTACTGGTGGACAGACACATGAACAAAAATCATGAATAAAAAATAAAAAAATAAAAAACACTTGTGGAGTCGATAAAGATGCCTAAATTAGGGCAATAAAAAAGATGATCTGCAAACTTTATAACCATGTGACCTGCTTTTCCACATCTACTGTTATGTGAATGTTTTACAGAAAGTTAATAAATTAACAGCAAGTTTGCAACCAATGCATTCAGCGGGGAACTGTATTGCCACTTGCATATGTTGTCTAATATATTCTTCTAAGTCTTACACTGCCACATTGGTAGGATTTAGGTTAGTCACAGAACTCAAAAGAACAAACAGTGAGAATAAACTACAATCCCCCTGCAAGTCACATGATTAGCTGATATGCTACCACTGAAATCAAAGATGATTAGGTCGGCTTTGTAGAGTTGTAGAAAGGTTTTGGCTTAATATTTACAGTCTGTGTTACTTACTGATGTGAACACGCAGATGTAGCCGGAAAACAGCCGTCACAGGTTGGTCAACTTGAATTTTGCAGATGCCTGAAGAGCAGAAACCTTTTACCCAAAGAGCTGAAATCAACGTCAGGATATCTACCTTTCCAATCAGAAGACAAGAGGTTAGCGATCACAGCTAGCGTCTGCTGAATATGAGTTTTAATGCATACAGAGGACTTTAACACCAACTTACATTCATGAATATTTTAAAATAAACACACTATATTGACAACAGAAGGATATATCAGCTTTGTGTTCCAAGCTAAACAGTCAAAACTGGTTTAAAAGCTAAACGCAAACGCGGAAGTAGATTGCAGTGAAACATCTCGCGTTATCAGCATACGATGTACTCTTTGGGGGAAACGTCGTATTACGGGTCCAAGCGACCGTCGTGTTTGTACAAGTTTAAAAGAGAGCAAAAGAGGTCTTCAAAGTTAAAGGTTTTCTTAATTGTCAGGGTTTCTATGCTCCTCTGATAATGATCCTCTTATTGCATATATGACTGAGTCTGTCAGTAAAGATTATGATGGGAATGATTACACATTAGGAAAGAGCTTTCAAATGATTTCATGTTCTCAGTTTATTTCACTCATTCAACCTACAGCCTTCTTATCTTGTACATGAATAAGAACAATTTTACAATTTAAGTGCATTGGAAACACTGTTCTCTCCATCTTTAAATGCAAAGGTTGCTCTTATACATCTCTCGTAATAAAAGTAAACGCAAGACCCGGGAACAAAGGGATGAACCCCACCAAAAGTCCTCATAAATAGATATTTTTACTCTCGTTCCCCTAAAGCCTAATTCCCATGATCGTTAGTAAGACATTTCCTATGAAGAGTTGTAAGAAAAAAAAACTTCAATTTTAAATAAATGTGAAAATTTCATGTTGCACATAAAAAACATCCCTGGTGAACTCAATGTGCGATGACCCATAGTTTGGCAAAAGTCTGCGAATTATATTTTTATACCATGGTGTGTGAAGACAGGCATTGAACTTTGGAAACCATTTATTCAAAAGTTAACATTTTTCTCATGTGGATTAAGCTTTCTTATCTTTTTAAGTGACTGTATTAAAGGCTGTTGTTTCCAACTTTCACACCTAAATGTTATTCCCATTTGTTTTTTTTTTTACCAAACTAACTTTCAGTAGGAAATTAAGTTCGAAGGTCAAACAATTATAGACGAATTTTAAATCTATAATCATATATTACAATCACTTTTTAGCATTACATCTGGGGTAAAGTTGTAAATAGACCAATCTGAAGTGAGTGTGTTACACAGAGAAAATGAGCTGACATCATAGATCTTATTCCCTGGATAAAGTTTACATCGTCAGAAAACAAAGTGCTTCATCTGTTGGCCAGAGGTCTGTAGCCCATCTCTCCCTCCAGCTGCTCTGCCGTGAGAGAACCCAGCAGAGGCTGACAGTCCGGGTTGAAGACGGAGTAAGCGCTCAGTTCTCCGGGCTCGCGGGCGGCTGGGCTGCGGAGTCCCTCATAGAGCCAGTAGAAGAGGGAGATGACGAAGAAAGGCAGGCCGAACTCCAGTTCCACGAACAGACCGAGCAGCACCAGCCACAGCAGCACTTTAAGCAACGTGAGGTTTGACAAGACTAAGTGTCTCGAAGCCAGCCACCTTCCAAAAGCACTGTCGCTACCCAGTCAGCGCTGTCCTGCAGGGAGACACAACAGAATGTTTAATAAGTCCAATCACTCTATTTTTTAAATAACATAACTTTGTACTATTGCTGTGTTGTGGAAACCAAGCTGATAAAAAATAAAGGTGCTTCTGGAGCCGGTGTCTGCAGAGGATTAATAAAATATTACTGATTCTGAGGTAAGATCAGAGGTATTTTATACTAAATATACTAAATTAAATAATACCATTATATTATGTATGTTGTTTTATATTCATCTACAGGGTATCTACATTGTACAAGTAGAACTGATACTTTCTCAGCAAACCAAAGAATTATAATAATGTTAATAGAGAAGTGTAGTCATCCACAGTTAACCCTGTTCAAGTCAATAAGTTTCTAAACGACTGATGCATTGTTCAAGTATGAATGAAGCAGGTGCATGTCTCACCTTTTTTGCAGAAGTCAGAGTTGAGTGTCTGTTTTCTGCACTCTGTGTTGTGTGCTGACTGTCTGATGTTTCCTTTGTGTCAGTCTGAGATGTCTCCATTTCTGTTTCTGTTGTGCACTGCAGGTCAGCACTGTTGTCCCTTTGAGCAGCCTGGCGTCTGGCTCGGAAATCCGCCAGCTTCTGCTCCATTGATAAAGCAAACTAATGTGTTAACCCTCCTGTTGTTAAGCGTACGTGGCAAATAAACCAAAAAAAACCCTGCTAGTACAACTATTTCAAAACTTCTTGACGGCAGCTTTGTCTTGTTAAACCCTTACACGATGTATAATTCGTTTCCACGCACTGTCCTTAACTTCCACTCCCACTTAAACTACATTTTGGTGAGATTTCACGGCGCTACTAGCTCAGCGAAGCTCCTTGTTTACCTTTTACATCCGCGTTGGACAGAAAGGAGGAAGTCCTGTCGCAAACAAGCTTCCACTGTCGTAAAAGGGTGTGGTGGTTTTCTGGCAAAGAAAATACAGGTCTGCCACTAGCTAGGTTATTTCATTGCTGGTGAGTGTTTAAACCTTTACGCATTCATTTTAAGTTGTTAATGGATTAACGCATCTTTTGTTTTTATATGTTGTTGCTATTGGTAACCTAACGTCGGCCCTGAGTTTTTAAAAAAACAACGTCGCTTTACGTTTTTTTTTTTTAAGCTGTCGACGATGTTTCAAACCTCGAAACCTTAATCGTTTTTAAAAACATAATTCCTCCATCATAGCTCTTGTTTTATGTTGCTGTTTCATCGTGTTACATATTAGTTAATGTTATCCTGCACTGATTTCAGGTGGTTTTAAACGACAGAGAGCATCTTACTGATGTTTAATGGTTCAACTTTTGCATTATTCCTGCAAAACCTACAACCAACCCACACTGTTACAAATCTTAAATCACACAATAACATCTGTTTGTGCATAAATGATCAAAGTACAGTTGCCTATATCAGAATGTACCTCTGAATCTCTTTATATAAAGTGGCACAGAAAGGTAGGCTATTCTAACTATTGCCGATTAAATTCTCGATAAATAAAATAAAATAATCATTAAAAAAAATCCCTTTATTATTTATTTGTGAGTTTAAAATTACGTCTGAAGTTTGAATGCTTTAAAAAAATAAAATAAAATCAATGATCCAAAACAATAAAGAAAAAAAAAACACTTTAACTGTAATATGCAAAACCTACCAAGCATGAAAGAAAATCAGTGTTTCAGGTTTATCATAGAAAAGAAGCAAATTAAAACAGTGGGAGACTAGAAACTAGGGCTGGGGCGATATGGACCAAAACTCATATCTTGATATTGTTTAGCTGAATGGCGATAATACTCGATATATATCGATATGTAGTTTATTAACAGTGAAAACACATGGAAAAATAAACTACCTGGTTGTGAATTTAAAAAAAGTAATATTATAAAATAAAAATGTTCCTTAAATACAATGAGAGAGAGCGAGAGAGCGAGAGAGAGAGGAGCGGGGTTAAGAGGGACAGACAGTCTTCATCAGTGAGATGAGAAAAAGATAACCTGGCACGTCTATAACGTTATTTTAATGCAACATAAACTATATCCATATTAACGATATTGTCTTATCATATATCTTGTTTGAAAATATATCGATATATCTTAAAAACTTGATATATTATCCGGCCCGACTAGAAACTAGTTAATGTTTGGGGTTAGATAATCAACAGCCTCTAACATTTAAAAAGTTTTTGTTATGTCCTGTTAGTGTTACTGTAAATATCTCAGTACACATTGTCTTGATGTGTCATGACTGTGGTTTATGTTTGTAATGTTTTGCAGAACAGGAACCTGCTGGAAACCAGTTTTTTAAACTGAGTCAGGCCAGTTAAACTGTAACTTAATGTTACTTTTAAACTTTCCTGTATAATAAATGAAATGAAAAATTGTCCTATGTTCTCTGCAGACATGGCCTCAGCTCCAGCACAGCAGCCCACCCTGACTGTTGAGCAGACCAGAGGTGACAAAGCTAGATTTCATATTATTAAAAATGCACTCACCTTTATCTCAGACATCCCTGCCTTAGAAGCCTTGAAACTGTTAACACTTTGTTTATGTTACAGTGGTACTGAGTGAGGTGATCCAGGCTTTCTCGGTACCAGATAATGCAGCGAGGATGGAGGAGGCTCGAGAAAGTGCCTGCAATGACATGGGAAAGATGCTGCAGCTTGTGCTCCCTGTGGCCACTCAGATTCAACAAGAGGTCATCAAAGCGTACGGTTTCAACAACGAAGGAGAAGGTAAGCGTAACGCAGCATTTTCTACCCCTTGAGTAGAGATTAACTTCAGAGATAGACGCCCTGAAGTATTTTGGGGCGCATTCACAAATTTGGATTTACTACATGAGGGCATGAGTGTTTTATTCAAGCCTTAGCACACCGTTATAAAATTATGTATGAGAACCTGAGGGTGGCAAAAATCATGACGCATCTTCCTCATAATGATCTCGGCGCTCCACTTACAGGTGTCCTAAAATTTGCCAGATTGGTGAAGATGTATGAAACTCAGGACCCTGAAATTGCAGCCATGTCAGCTAAATTGAAGTCTCTCCTCCTGCCACCGCTGTCAACACCTCCTATAGGAGGCGCCATTCCAGCTTCATAGGAAATATTTACATTCACTCAACTGTTCAACTGCAACGTTGCTTTCAAGTAATGCTTTAGGGATCAACATTTAAGAACTGTTATTCCTTCTTTTTAATTTGTTAGTTACATTACTTTTCTTGAGGAAATAATGGAAAAATACTCAAAACACTAAAACGTTCCAAGAAAGTCAGTCAATTTATTTTATTCAGAGCATTCTTGCAGACTTGTTAAATTATTGCTTTTTTAATGTTTTCATATTTATTCGTTACATGTTACACTTTGACCATACTCTTACGTCATTCAACCTTAAACAATTCCTTTAATGCCTTTTTTTTTTAATCATTAAACCATTTTTATATGCTGTCAAATGTATAAAATGTCATTATTTTGTCTTGTATTAAAAGGTTTTACGTGAAACTCTTGTGTAGTAATGTTGTGGTAAAGAAAACAATAACTTGCATATATACATAACTTTATTATTGCAATAAGGCTTTGGCAACAACATACTCATATGTTTAAAAAAAAAATCTGAAGCGCTAACACATGTACATATATACATTTCTGTAATGATTTATCTTCCTTAGACAGGTGCAGCAAAATATAAAGTTAAAAGATCCCTAGTCTCATATATAAAATCTGGGATCAGGCCTCTCTCCATCCTTTGTTCAGTGGGCTTTAAGTTAAGGTGCATGCAGACATCATAGCAGAAGAGGTTCATAATAAAACTTGCACAGTAAGTAAAGAAAAATAAAGTGCCCCATATTCTTAAACATCTATACAAAAACAAACATGTTCCTAAAGTGCTCCTTGTTTATAAAAAAAAGGCAAACCAGTGACCCTGCACCTTGTAACAAATGTGAAAGGAACTCATATTCTGTACTTGTGCTGATTCTTGTGTCTTGTACCTTATTACCCAGCAGCTTTTTGGATCTGAACAGATGGTATGTAGACAATAAGATGACTACAAGGTGCAGTTTCTTCCATCTGGGCGTCAGAAAACAATCCTGTTTGTGTGTGATACATAAAACCATGTCATAAAATCGAATATTGCTTACATTTTCAATCCTGGCTGAGTTCATTATGTGGAGAGCACCCTCTAGTGTTGAACACTGTTTCAGTCCCTCAGTTGCAACAGGCTGATAAGAAAGAAGAGATAGACCGAGCTCACATCTCAAAGTGGCGGAAAATGTTTTCAACATAACCCAGGACCTTCTGCCAGTCTGGCCCGTCTGATTTCAGCATCTCCTCAACTGTCTGATACAAAGTAAACAGGGAGAGATTATATTAGACGAACAGTCCGTCGGTGCCAGGGAGTTTTAATGACATTTCTGAATAGGCTTTGTAAAATTTAAAACCAAACATCAGAAGGTAATCTCGTGAATAACTCACCAGTGTAGCTGTGATTCCTACACTCTCTCCTGTCTTAAAAGCCAGGTCGAGATTTTCTTTCTGAAAGAGAAATATGAGTCAAAACTTTTTTCTATAATCAAGTATGAATTTGTAATTCTGGTAAAACATCAAATGATCAATAAAAGGTAAATAGACTTGAGCTTGTATCGTGCTTTTCTAGTTGTCTTGATTACTCAAACTCTTTTTAAACCACATGTCACATTCACCCCATAATACCACGTTCACACACTGATGGCAGAGGCTGCTTAGTATAAATATTCCCCTTCATACACATTCAGTAGCAGGCCTAATTTGGGGCTCAGTGTCTTTCCCAAAGACAATTTGACATGTGCCTGCAGGAGCTGGGGATCAAACCCCCGCTCATCAGGTTGAGAGACAACAAACTACCACTGAGCCACAGCCACCTCAATAGCATGCAGTACTTTTGGTGAAACATACTGGAGGCTAAGTTTGATGTAAATGATGGATTCTTGAGTCACTAGAAATCATTGTTAACTTGTAGGAATAATTTAGCAAAATGAAAAATTATCAATATTTGTGTCTGGATAGCCGTTATATTCATTTATAGTCAGTCACTGCGATGGCTTTTGAGACTTGTGCCTTTTTCAAAAGTATTTTTTAAATGCACTTATTACAATTTAAATTCCAATTTACCTTGTCCACCAGGTTGAGGGTGTCATACGGGATGCGAGTTGGTAAAAACGTGTGATAAACTGCACAGAACGCCAAGCCGTCCTCCCAGCTGCTGCTGAAGTTTGTGATCTCAATATTCTGCCATAAAAACATAGAGAATAAAGACAATACATAGTCATTGAATTTTTTTTTGAACACCCTGATCTTAACTTAATTTCCCTCAATATGAAAAATAACCTTCCCCTCACCTTATAACCTGGGTACGACTCTGGCACCAGCGCAGCAGGGAGTTTCTTCTGGAGCCGCCATAACGCCTCAACAGAGCGCTGAAACCATCCTGAGGTCTAAGAGGGCAAGAAAATGTTTGATAATGACTTAAACAGAGTTGCAAGTTTTCAAAATGAAGTTAAGACACTAAGAAAAGTAAAACGACAAATAAGGTTTAAAAAGTGATATAAAAGGTGAAAAGTTTAAATACAATTTAGCGGATGTGCCAAAGGAGCATGCTGGCTTGATTACTGCATAACTAAATGAACGTAGTAGGACATCATGTTTTTTTTTTAATCTCCCTAATGCATTTGAAATACAGGACACACTTAATCCTTTTCTGTTGAACTAATTAAAATATATATGGGGGGGGGGGGTATTGAAATGTAGCCTGTCTGAGTCAAATAAGAAGAAGCCATTTAGTTACTTACCTGGTAGAATCTGAGCTTTGGTCCTCATCCTGTTTTCCTGAGAGACAAAGAAAGACTCTGCCATTGCAACACAGTTTCTGACTAAGCTTTTAAACAACATAAAGGCCATTTAAATATTTACATTTAAGCTCACCTGTGTAAAAGCTGGACCAGCTGTCCTGCCTATGAAAAACACGGTCCATTCTTCTTCGGTTCGGAAGCTCTTCTTTCTGGAAAAAGTTAGAAATGACAAGATGTTTTGGTTCTGCCAATGCCTTCTTTGGTTTCCCCCTCGCTAATCATCGAGGTATTTGTCCATGTAATCAAGCAAAATTAAATAACCTTTTAAAATAACTTTAAAAACTGGTATACCTTGGATAGAGGCAATGTTGAGCTTGTCTTTTTGGGGGTCCCATTTTCACTAGAAGGGTCACATGGGAGCGGGAGACGAGAGAGACTCCTGGAAGACATTTTTTTGAATGTTTTTTTTAGCTATCTATTTATAGTTGTGTCTGTGAGTGTGAACTTTCATATAGACTCACCAAGATCTTTCAGACAACATAACAATCCTCCTTGGATCCTTCTGCCCACGTCCCTCGTCTTTCCTCTTTTCCTGCACAGCCAAACTGCGAAGGTATCCCTCCGCAACTCCTTTCCCTTTCAGCAGCTCGCTCCCTGATTCGTTTGCCTCCTCAAGATCTTGATCAACAACTTTAGCATCCAACTCTTTATCTGTTCCGTTCTCCTCTTTCTTTTCAATGTTTTTAGCTTCCACCTCGTCTTTATCTCCCCTGCGATTTTCCTCTTTTACTTTTTGTATTCCCCCCCCCCTGCCCCTCATCAGAGTCTTGTCTTTCAGCCTGTTTGTCACAGTTTGCCACATCTTTCACTCTGCTGGTGTTCCTCAGGGCTTTAAGCTCGGCCCACTCCTGTTGCTGCTGCTTTGAGAGTTCAGTCAGTTTGAGGTGAACGTCTCTCTGCTCAGCTCTCAGAATCTCCAGCTCTTGCTCCTTTTCCTGCTGTCTGCTGAGGGCCTGATCCAGCTGCTCCTTCACAGCCCTGTGGCTTTCCTGAAGCAATTCCATGGCCTGCTCCGACTCAGCACGCAGCCGGTCGGCCACAGACACTGCTACCTGCAGGTCACTCTGGAACTGACGCCACTCCAGCCTCTCTGTCTGTCACAGAGGACAAAACAAAGACAAAAATAGATGAGAAAACTGTGAAACAATGTTCTTAATATAACTCTTAATGCTCTCTTAGAACATTGTTGGCTATTAGAATAATTAGCCTGCAGTGAGATATCAGAAAAATTCTTATATAGTTAGGAATAAAATGAAAAATAAAAAGTCACCAAAAAATAATTAATATTAAAAATATAAATTAGTTATCATTATCACTGGAACTTCAGTTTCAACTCACCCTGAGTGTCTCTCTCAGTGCGTCCACCTCATCAACCAGTTCATCCTTTTCTGATATCAGGCGCCTGAGCAGCTCTTAGAGAAGAGTCAAACACAAGTTGATCACAAAGTTTAGAAAAAAGGATTCAAGATTATGACAACAGCAATAACTTTCCTGTGATACCTGTTCTTCTTTAGTTGTGGAGGGTGCTTTTAAGCCTGGTAAGTGTCATTCTGATGTCATCAAGGTTTCCCCAGTTAAGACTTGAAAATGACAATTGTGGTTTAGAAATCCTGGGCTATCAAGGGGAGGCATAAAGCTGGGAGAATATAGGTATTCATCAAACAAGCGTGGCATGAAGCTGCAATCTCCATAGTTCTAAATTGGTATTATGTAATTCCATACGTACCCTGATCATCTGCTTCGAAAATGATGGACGCCCACAGTAAACTGACGTTAGAATGGGAAGTTGTTTCAAATAGTATCACCAAATAACCTCACCTTTTTAATCATCTTACTATTTTCATATTCCTTGTCCTCCACATAGACTGCATATAAATATGGACAATGCATCTCCATCTCAATGGGCACTAACATATTTGGCTGGTCATGTAAAACAGACAGGCTGGTGGGGCCGGGGTATGGACGCCCCACTCTTCGCTAAGTAAAACAGTGTACAGCAGAACAGAAACTTGTGTAGGTTTGAAGCAGGCACTTGATATTGATAGTGATAAAGTCTAAAGACTCCAGTATTAGTAGTCACTTCCTTTCCTCTTGCTATTCCTCCTTACTCTACTAATCTGGTAAATAATGCTGTAGGAGCCACATATGTCAACAAAGCTGTCAACCATGATTTTACATGAGCTCTTTTTCACATAAAGTAACAAAATCTAAAGTTGTCAGAAAAGTGAACACTAGGGACATAAATCGCCATGAAAAGAACTTACTATAATGACAGAAATCATGTTTGAGACATTTTTTGTCATGTTTTTTTAATTTTACTACTCTACTACTGTAGTCTTTCAGCAGAGGGCGCTCTAAATCGTTTGGCTTCACTTCTCTCCCGACCATCTTTATACAGTCCAAACACATTATTAACAATAAATGCCTCTATACATTTCCATTACTTAAAATTTCTTTCCATTCTCTCATTTCCCTTTTTTCTGTGCAGTTATTACCATCACTATTATTTTACTTTTTTTCCTCTGAAGTATCTCCCCCCTGTGACTTAGCCTACAGCAGCCAGCCATACATTATTGTTATTGTCATTGTTGGTATTCTGTCAACTATCTCACTCTTCGGTTTTGTTCTGTCTCATTGTTTTGTCTTTAGTGTCAATATTTTTCAGGGAATTTCAGCGATAAAAATAAAGTTAAAAATTAAACATAGCAGATAGAGGACCTACCTACTGCTCCTGTGGTTACATCAGTGTTGGGGCTCAGGCTTAGAGAGACTCTATAGTGCTCCATCAGACTGAGTAAAACCAGGGTCATCTCTTCTCCAGCTCTCTCTACTGCAGCCTGCGGCTCCACTCCGCTGTCCTGATCCTGCCAGCTCTGCCCTGATGGCGATGCTCTGGACGAATGCAGAGACGAGGGGCTGCTCGGGCTGAGCTCTGCCTTCTTGTGCCTCGCTTCTGCATTGCTCACGACAGCCTCTGAGCTGGTGATGCTGTCCTCGCTTATAACGGCCCATTCTGAGGGAGCAGCCAGCTTCTGTGTCCAGTCTGCAATTGGAGAAGTGGTGGAGGGGGTGGTGCTGCTGCCGGCTGGTGACGGCGTCTGTGCCTTATTAGAGGCGGCTGTAGAGGACAAGGCCATGGCAGACAGATCGGAATCTGAGGGTGTGGTGGGAGGCGTGTGGAAGAAATCTAGGGGAGAGCCTAAGAGGGGGGAATAATTTGTAAAACAGACAGGGAGAAAAATATTTTTCTGAGCCTGAAAAATCATCTAATATAGGATGAAAAATGTGCTAACTGCAGAGCCCCTCTCTTCTTTTCCTTGATGCAGATGTAAGCACTCAGTGTCTGCTCGCTTATTTACCGTCCTGGGCTGACTGATGCAGCAAAAAATCTCTCCTCTCCGAGTCTTGGCAGGCTAATACTCACACACTGTTCCCCCATGTGGCAAGATCCAGGAAGAGAGGTGATTTCACCCTTATCTGCTATCAAACAGCTGCTGTCACTGCAGTCACAAGGCCATTACATGTATCATCTTACTGCAAGTATTATGCATGAAAGCATATACCTTTGAAATACATTTTTGAAAGAAATTTAGAGTGAATTTGTGGATTTTATTTGCTTGTTTTTCCATGTCCTAAGAAGTATGAGTATCAATCCGTTTATGTGATTTTTAAACTCTGTTTATGGTGTGCATTGGTCATAAACGTCATGCTACAGGGTTCTCCACCTGTTCATTTCAGATCTTTTTCTACTCCTTCATCCTCCTTGCCCTTGCGTCGTACTGCAGAATTCTGCAGACTCATCATTTCCCCGCAAGCAGCAGCAGCATGATGTAGTCTGTCGGGCTACAGCTGCAGGGGAGCTATTCTCATCCTCTAGCCTGAGCATACTTCCTGCATGCTGACAGCCAAGAGAGGAAAACAAGGACTAGCATTTTGAACAGCTGTGAGCTGGAGTTTAACTGCCGAATGTCTACACAACACGACAAGTAAGGCTGCACAGGGGAAATTTCACACATTAGCTGAGCTAAATGACAGCTGGCTGTGATCTGAAGGATGCTGAAGGCACGAGAGAGGCTAAATACAGAATCATCTGGGATACTGTTTTTTATTTAACACCAAACTGATTCATCTCCTTATTTGTCTGCCAAGTGATATTTCAGTGTTCGCACAGTAGTCAGCACCAGAAATGCATTCGCACAGAGTAGCATCTTCTTTGTTCACAAAAACTTGAATTAACATTTTTGTTTAACTTGCTTGAAATTTTTTTTTTTCCTGATTATGTTTTTTTTCACTATTTTCTTATTTTTGGTTTAGTGTCATACTTTTGTTACAAAAATGCTTTGTGCAGCCTTTGTATTCTATTAGTGTACTTAAGGTAAACAGAAGGATATAATGAATGGCCTTTGTGATTACATGTTCTCATAATTCAAGGAACACAATGAATATCACTGCACTCACTGTTACCTCAAGGGTGTTAAAGCCAGCAAAATCTGAAACTGTTATACACAATAATCCTCTGAAGTTCTCTTCTTTTGTGTTGACTCTGTATGTTTGTATTCTACAGATTTGTTTCTTTTGATGCGCACAGGAGTTAGAACCTCACAGCTTTTCTCAGAATAAAGGATCCTCTGTTACATGTCTGCATATACAAAGAAGAACTTCAAACATTTTTCTTCTTCTGAGTGAAAAAAGCTTATTTTCACCTGGAGTAGGAAGGAAAAGACTGACACTTTAAAAAAAAGAAAGAAACACACACAGCACACTGTCTCCGAAGCAGGGAAACAATAGTCTAAGAATAGACCGTCAGTCCTATGGTATGATGAACAAATTAAGGGTATCAATTCAAACATGAGTGAAAAACAGACCATATTCACTGCAGCAACCCCCCCAAAAAAACACATCCCCCCCCCTCTATCATATTTGGAAACATGTAAAATACTTGTTTTTTTTTTCAGTTTCTAGTACCTGTAGTGCTGTGGCCGTCCTTGCCATGTTGGTTACCCATGATCCAGCAAGGTGGGTTATCTGGACAGGCGACCCCTGTGTCCTTCACTGTGTCCCTCTGTTTCGTGAGGCTCCCAGCTGTCTCTGGACAGGAGGGAATAAAATACAAATCTTCAATGATAGTCATAACTCAGAGCTGAATCAGCCTACAAAATGAGTGCAACATGTCAAAACAAAAAGAGTCGGACAACGTAACCATTGCACAGGGAGTGTTGAATAATCTTACAAATATTTTCTCAAGCACAATAAGATAATGGTTTGTTATTGAACGGTACAAAAGTCAATGTGCCAGGAGTGTCACCTGGCTGCAGTTGTTGTTAAATTGCTGTCAGACAGCTGTCAGATTTGTCCTCCTCATGAATGAAGTGCCTCAGGTCACACAGCATGTTTTCAACTTTACTCAACCTCAATGTGTCACTACAAGAAGCCACAGATTTGTAGACATCCTTTCCAACAACGTTCACTGAGGATCTCTTGCAGAGCTGGATTTACAACACATGACCTCGTAAAAAAAAAATCAACCAAACTCCATCGTAAATCCCAACAAATTATAACAACTAATAGAATTAAGAAAAGACAAATACACCAATCTTCACAACAAGCGTCAGGAACACATCGGCACAATCTCTAGAAGACATCGGCATAGATATGATTCCTCTGAAGCAATAGGTGTCAAAATAATCTCGTTTTTTTTTTTTTTTTAACACCAGAATCACACTTGTTACTGACCAACGCAGATCAGGTTCAGGTGTCAGGATGACTATCTCGCCAAATCATTAGGCTACTTAATAAACGTGTTGCTTAAAATATTGTAAACCGTAATAATACAAAAAAAATCAAATTTATCAAAAGATGTGAAATGTTTTCATTTCGTGGTCGTGCTTCAAGCCCCTGTCTTCAATTAGCCTTGAATATTAAACTACCCGTTAGGTGAATGAAGTTTGGATTCACATTTTCATCCCAGAATTGTCTCCCCCGTCTCGTGGTTGCAGATTCATTTCAGACATACGATTTCTCCAACCAACGACACTGCTCGACTCCCGACACCCTGCAGTTTCATCCTACCTGATCAGCCGGACAGCGGGACGAGTTCCAAGCTTGGTCCCCGACTGTGCGACGGTTTCCTATCCGGGATGTCTCGATCTTAAATTCAGCCTAGGACACTGTCCGAGTCACTGAAAAGACATGCCTTTCCGATGGACCATACAGCTAACGTGTATAAGGCAGCAACCATGTATCACTTGGTTGTCCAACTCAGATTTATATTCCAACTCTGCTTTGCCTTTAAATCCAATGCGACAAAAAGCAGAGAAGGAAGCAGAAACAAACTGGTTGCGTAGAAGCTGCACGTTGAGACGACGACACAAGTGAATTCAATGACATTATTAATATAATTTATCAGACATAATGAATAAAACAAATCGAAATAACGTGTGGTGTACTCCAATGGACAGAAATGTGTTGTGTTGCTGGTGTGAAACAGGGCGCGCGACAAAGCAGCTCAACCGGCTGGAGGCTAATTATTACTGCAGGTGTGGCTGCACGTGGGTGGGTAGGCTAACAGGTAACATCTCGGGCTGGCTTACGTCACAGTCATTCTGAAATACTTGGATGACATAACTAGCATGTGTAGGTTTCAGCTGCAGATATTCAGAGGTCCACCTCTCTTTTCCTGAAGCTCCACCTGCACCAATAGGCTACTGAATTAAAGAAAACAGTTATTATTACACCAGGAATATCAGATAAGATATTCTTTATTTTCTTATTCCACATAGCCAGAATAATAATAATAATAATAATAATACATTTTATTTATAAGCACCTTCCAAGACACACAAGGACACTGTACAACAATCAACATTTAAAAAACAACGATGGATAAAATCAGCATACAATGAAATAAATGAAATGTAGGACAGTGGAATTGCAAATGTTTAAAATGTTCGAGTGAGTAGGCGATTTTGAACAGATGGGTTTTGAGTCTGGATCTGAAGATGGGGAGAGAGTCAATGTTGCGAATGTCAGGTGGCAGAGAGTTCCAGAGCAGGGTAGCAGACCATGGTGCTGAGGGCAAAGGGCACGGTGAGGTGGAACAGGAATAAACATGTCCCTGTAGTATGAAGACATTATAATTACACTGATGATGCCATATCTGTATCTTTAAACCAATACAATCACACAACAAACACTGCAGCCTGGCTATGGTTTTAAATTATGTAATAAAATGTATAAATAGAAGTTAGACTACTTCAGAAGCTATGCAGCTGACATGACCGATGATGGGGTCTAAACCCCAAAAGTGCAGATGCTCTCAGAACCTTTATTAAATAGATTAAAATAAATAAGAGCCACATAAACAAGAATAGGAGAAAACAAAAATATACACTTGTTGAAGTCTTTGTGTTGTTTGATACACAGAAAAGTTGGATGACTTCAGCATAGCATAGAGACATCAAGGATGAAGGAATACAAAGAATGGGAAACTGAAGGCTGGAGAAGATGTATTGTGTATTGCCAAGGAAGCAATGTTAAACAATATATAATTTAGATAAATGATTGGTAATTTTTTTAAGTTACATCATAATTATATAGATATACAGAGGTGAGTTTTTCCAGCACCATGGACAGAGCTCAGTGAGAAAAAAAAAATGTCTCTGGCGCCACCTAGTCCCTAAATTTAGTACTGTCAGGAAAATTGGAAGAGAAAAATATATTTAAACATAAACTTCAGTCTTTAAAAATGTATTTATAAAGATTTATATTTGTGCTTTTTATACCTTTTTTTAGAGACACGGCAGTGGACAAAGTCAGAAACTGGGGGAGATAGAGAGTGGGGGATGACCTGCAGGAAAAGGAGCCACAGGTTGCATTCAAACCTGTGCCGCCTGCTCTAGAGGATATAAGCCTCTTGTACATGGGGCGCACACACTAACCGCTAGGCTACTTGGGCCCTATAAACGTTGTTCTTTGTTGCTATAAAAGTTTGGATTTGCAACATAAAGTTTGAATTTTGGTTTCTAAAAGTTTTTACACATTGGGTACATTTGGTCTATCGATTTTTAAAATGTATATAAAATTGCACACACACTAATATATATATATATATATATATATATATGTATATATTATAGATTATTGTTTGTATTTGCACAAAATATATATTTACTTTGTTTTGCAACTTTTGCTAAGTGTTTAAAAAAAAGATTCTATACATTTAAGCAAAATGTGCAGCCATTATTGCCGTCACAAAAAAAAAAGCTGCAGTGTGATTTATATTTGATTAAGTTCTCACTGTAAGGTTATGGTGGAAGTGCAGATTGTTTTGCGCTGTGTAAAATCCATTGCTCTCTGCAGTGAGAGCAGAGGTTAAGATATGGGGGCAGTAACAGCTTCTGGCTGTTCTATGTGCTGAATCCTCTTGAGTTCTTGTTGACCTTTAGACCACACACTGAAAAACCTGCTTCATAAGCATTAGAAATCAATCTCACCAAGTCTCTTCACACCAAGCCCACTCACTTTTACGACTGAAACTTCTTTTTTTCCAAAGCTTTAGGCACTTCTGAATCAAAATCTAGTAGCATGAGCTTGACAAAAGTTTGTATTCAGGCTGCGTTAAACTGTTAAGTTGACTGGATTTCAGACGGTAAATCCAGATAAATTTATATTCATTACAGAAAAGCCCTTCCTTGTGAAATTAACTTGTAATTTTTGTTTTCCTTAATTGTTTACTTATTGTAAAATATTTTAAATTAAATATTGTCTATAAGTTTGAAAACGTCACATCAGTTAAGATGACAAAAAGACAAAATGTTGAATTATCACAAAATTAACATAACTTCTAGTTAAACTGACAATTAATTTTAAGGTACCAGGACAAACTGGTTTTACAGAGATGGGTTTTCTGCAAATTTTCTTTGTACTTTTCTTTAAGAATTTAAAAAAAAGTTGCATATATTTTTTAATTCTGAAGATGAAAAAGATAAAGAGGAACTTGCTGAGTCTTCATCTCTCTATGGTTGATTTCTCTCTCATCTGGGAGGCAGCTGCTGCAAGTAAAAGACAAAAGAGTAAAAGAGAAAAGAAAGGTACAGGTGAGCAGAGGAGATTGGCTTTATAGGTGCAGCTTAGACAGATCAATAAATCCCTTTTTGCAGTAACCCATGCTGAGTTTGTGTTTTTTTTCCAGTACACTGCTGTCAACACTGACCTGTTATGAAGCTGTTTTAAGTAAATGTAGTGCCCTGCTGAAATTCACTCCAGCTGAAGGCTTATAAAGGACATTACAAACGTTTTTGATCAATTCAAACTTTAGATATAAAAAGATTTCAGTGGGATCATCACAGTTTCTGTTATTCTAATCATTCAGCTGTGAGAGCAAAGTCAGTATCTATATTTAAACCCCTTCTTATATCCAATTATAAAACGTTCTCTTTTTCTATTTGCTAAAACATACAAAAGTTTAGTCAACTATCTTGTATTGCTGTTTACATCAGTTACTTTGTTCACCATTCATTTCTTGTTTTAATGCAACTAACTTAGCCAGTATGCTTATGAGTTAGGCTTCTGTTATCCATAAATTAAGGACAAGAAAAATAATTCATGTGTCACTGTTTGGTAATTTGTGTATGCTATGTACTCTAGTTTATAAAATGGTTTAAATAATTAGCATCACACACGGTTGTTTTGTCTTCTCATGGTAAAGCCACACATATCAGTCACCAGTAATTAAGCTTCACGTGACTCATCTTAATTAATCAATTCACTTTTTACTAAGTGCGTCATCACCAACAATTCAAGACAGCGTTCACAAAAAGAGACGCTCGTTCTTTTTAAACACTTTTTCTGTTGAAGTTTGCACGATATTTTGTTGTTAAGTTGCAATTTCAATTTCACGCTGTGTCCAAGAAAGTGGGCTACAAGACTGTAGACGCAGACTTTTGTCAAAAATGGCGTCTGATATCGGCTGCCTCTGCAAGAACAGCTGTGCTATCAGAGGGCACAACAACATCTCCGCTTAACAAATTCATCTGGAGAGAATGAAGAAGTGTGCCGCTGGATCTGGGCTCGACGCGGACAGAGAGACGCACTTGAGTAGCTGTCATGATGAGAAACTACAGCCGCTCTGCCGCAGATGTTTCTAACGAACGTGGCAATGAACATTTTCACGGATACCGGGGGACATGATCGCCTCTTACTTATTTGTCGCCCGTTTACTATCGAAGAAGAAGAGGAGGAAGAAGAAGGAGAAGGAGGAGAAGAAGAAGAAGAAGAAGAAGTAGTGACCTTCTCCGAGGAGGAAGATGTCAGCGCTGAAAAAGGTAAGATAAAGGAAACGTGCACGGTGTTTGTGCATGGAGCCTGCAGCTGCAGAGCTTGTTGTTGTTGTTGTTGTTGTTGTTGACTGTTTATTTCAAGTGCACCTTTCATGAGGTGTGAGGATGGCGAGGAGTTGACCGGATAAACAACGCACCTGGTGGGAGTAAAGGTGTGAATGTTAGAAGCTGTACTAAGTTATGCAGAGCGTGAATGAGTCACTCTATGAATGATTTCCTGCACAGATCATTCAATGAATGCACACACTAATGCATGAAAGGTGTCGGCCTGTGTGCTTTTGAGAGATTACTGTTCATGTATTTGGAGGATGAAGGTTCGTGTCCTCCCGTGTTATTGTAGGAGACCCACATCTCAACCCGGTTTAAGTTTCCTGTCTGTAAATTGTCACATGTCCCCATTGTGTTGCTCCCCTTTATGCATTCAATGTATATGTGTACTGTATGTGTGCTTGTGGTGACTCAGCTGTATTGTACTATATCTGTCATCCATCTTTTCATCTGTCACAGGTGTTACCATGGCTACTACAGACTCACTGCTGTCTTTTCTTTGAGAAGGACTCAGGTAAGACGTGGGCTGCGGTGAACATAATGAGGAGATGTCACTCACGCTAACAGGCAGCTTGTATAATGACTTTAATGGTAAAAAAAAAAAAAACTATCAGAAGGTGTGACGGGGAAAGTGGTGTCAGGCTTCTCGCTTTTTTGCAAGTGATTTAGTTTCCATAATTAGAACATTTCATACTCCTAAAAAGATGAATTGGATCATATCTCGTGCATGCAGCCAAAGCCTGCATCACTCATTTTTACCATTGACTACAGAAGTCTTAAGCTGCCAGCCTGCTATATACTAGTTAATTTACTCCTTTTTCCCCATAAAAAGTAATTTCTGGCTGTATTCTGTAAATCTCTACTGATTAACAGCGCTGGTTTACCCATAACAACAAGTTCATTTAGTTGTTTTCTCGAGATCTCAACTTGTTTTACTCGTTATCTCATTATAACAAAGCTGTTTACCCCATTATATTGGCTCCATTTATCTAATTATATCGAGATAAGAAGCCCTGTTTTCTCCTGATAAAGGGATCATTTTGAAAACAATAGACTGGTCACTGTGAATGGTCAGACCACGACATGCCATGCTGCCTATTTCTTTTCTTTTGTGCACTTGCAGCTCTGAGGATACGAAATTATAAAGTCAGGATCTCAAGA